TTTGCTATAAAGCAATTACCGACTGATCCCCATTGATCCAACTTTGAGTTACGCCCATGTCCTCTACCGCTCAAAGGCGAAAATACCCGAAGATCAGATCGGCAAAGCCAAGCTCTAGCAACTAGCAAGTCAACAGCAAACACCAGGGTACAAAAAGATAGAACGGTTTGATTGTGTAGCAGATGCTATATCAATATAGATTTTTTGACTGATATAACAATAAATGCTTTAAACACATTTTTTGTTCGAAATATATTATTGCTTGTTTGTTTGAAGATATTTAGGCCCACGTATTTTTCTGTGTTCACGTTTTGTATTGTAGATATAGAGAAGGCTGTGTTTACAAATATTACAGGCGTATCCCCATTTAAATTCTATATTGCATATGGTGTTGATTTTTCATAGATGATCGGTGCCGAAGGTTTACAATAAATACGATAAAAATGATAGATATGACTTTTTGTGCTGCTTCTTGGGTATGATCACATACGTGGTAAACAAGGCTATAAATATCGAGAGACAAAAAACCCATTAACAGGCGAGATTATTAACGAATAAGTTCAAATAATCAATGTGAAATCCTCTTTAGAAAAGAATGAAATTAAAAAATCGATAGGATTCAAAAGAGACAAAAGCCGCGCGCGCCATATTCAAACGGCTAAAATAGCAAAAATATTAAGAATTCACTGGAAACACCCAAATTTTTTTAGCAAAACGGTTAAGTGTAACCCAGGAAACATAATAAAATATGAGGCTACTAAAAATTAGCTTAAATTTGAGACCAAAACCACCATGCAGCGTTTAGTAGTTTCAGAGAAATTAATTTTCAAAGTGCAAAATCGGTGTGAGGAAGCTTGGCAGTATGGAATCCAAGCGGCCATGGTTGCAAATAATTCGATTGGAATGTGCTGTTAAAATTAATTGCTCTGCAACTACGCCACGGACGAAAACGACACAACCATGGTAATTTAGGGTGAAAAAACTAATATTTAATACTATTTTTGTCTAGTTCGCAATAAATTTTCTATGTTTTATATAAAATTCGGAAGGATAAAATAATAAACACTCACCGAGATGATCCAGCAGCGAACTGTGCTGTTTGTTCCAAAGCGTTCCACCGGCGTCGCTGTCGCTACCCCCAAAAGTTTATCCACCAATCAGAGACGCGGTTGCGAATGTCCTGTCTTTTTCCCACAGATGGCCGTTAGAAATTTAAAAAATAATTCAGGATCAAGATGTTAGTTTATATCGATTCTTTTTCAAATTATACAATAAACACGTGTAGCAGTATTCCCGTCCTCTTGCTCACTTTTTAGTGGGAAAATAGAGAAGGGGAACATGCAACCTAGCTTGCTCGCTACCTATCATACGATGGTTTCAGAAAATCACTAATGCTTCAACGTACATCATGTTTGAACTGAGAAGTGAGGTTTGAATTACATCATAAATATTTAAGAGAAACGATTTATTGCAGCAAAGTACTAACAGCAGAACTTCGTTTTCTGTAGTCTTACATATTAAGACTTGAAAATAATTAAATTGTATATTTAATCCATGCAAATTTTGGTTCAAACGGTAGTGAATGACTTGTGCCGTGGCGTACCTGGTACGTACATACACTACCAATTAGACAAATGTTATATTACTGGTAAAAATTTCAGTATCCTATACCTGCTGGTGATTTGTACCAGATTTATCAACTATAATTTGTGGCTAATTTACAAAAATTTCACATCCATTGTTGTCATATTGTTAACACGTCAAATACAGCGTGCATGCGATTCCTCAATTTTTGTCAGTAGTGTAGTGAGTGATATAAACTTTAAAGACAAGTGGAATGATCAGCTGGCAATATATAAATGTTGTTCTTGTAACATATGCAGAAGTTACATTAAAAATCCGAAATAGATTAATTAATCTTATTGTTGTTTTAACATTTCGAGGTTAAATTCGGGTGGTCGCTGACTGGATCATCATACTAGGCAAAAGCTATTAGTAGGACAAGTGTCCGCCTATTGGAATGGCGTGGTTGTTATCTATCTATATTTTTCTGTGTAAACGTAGAGACTAACAAACTTCTCTTTTGGGATTAGACAAACCAAAATACGACTGAAGCCCCAGCCAGTGGACGGTCAGCGAAAGATAACAAATATGTAGATGTAGATTATGTCCAACTGCTGGCATGAACGAATTTTCATAGCATCCCAAAACCAATAACAGCCGGTGTGCCCGAGATATTATGGAGTTTTCCCATGCCACTTACGTGCTGCGGTATTTTCTAGGCACGTTATTTTGACAGATACGCAGCTCAGTTATGGGTTTCATGGTAACGGGCACTAAATACAAATGATCAAAAAGAACACGAAAAGTTCATATAAGCCTGGGACATGAAATTTGGCCTTCCCGAGATACCTAGATGGGGTGAATGTGCCAGTAATCGGACAGTTTATACAAAAGTGAAATAAGTGTAATTATAGGAATTTTGTGTTGAAGATAACAGCTTTTGGAGGTGATCGTATATGGTATATGGTGTTAACTTTCGCCGACAACAAATACATTACTTATAGGTATTCCTGTAGTTTTATATAAAAAATATTAATCAAAAGGGTGCATCCAGCACTCGGCCGTAAGGCGCTATTAGCCGGCCGGTAGTTTCCAATTTGATTGGCCAGTTTTCAGACAGAACCGTATTTGAAAATTTGTGATAGTAGAATAAAATGTTCAAATCAATTATCATTAAGAAATTAAAGACAATCATAATGAGTCCACTTAATATAGATATGTTTATCCAAAATACATACAAACTAGATAAAAATGAACAACAAACTAATTTTTTCCTTCCATCCGGTCCTGCACTGTCGACTTTGAACTATCATACTGTTTAGTGTTTACATATTTCAAGCAATTTCCCAACATTTCTCACAGCTTCGACTGTCTCCTTAATATTCGTATTGTGCGATGCACAGTCTTATCAGTAGTATATAAATTTACAATATTGGTTGCTTATAGAAGTTTTTTTGTTTCTCTTGGTAGTACATATATATCTGCTATGAATATAGTCATTGTTTGAATTGTTCTATACAGGGTGACTTTGAAGTTGAGTCATTAATTTTCAGATAATGATTGTAGAAAGGAAGATAAACCAAAATATGTGTGTAAAAATAAAAAAAAAATAAAAAAAATTTTTTACCTTCTTTTATAAAGTATCCTCCCGACAAGTATTTCATTGCGGACCTGTATTTGATCGTGAGGTCTTAAGTCACCTGATTCACGAGCCCGTTGTACTACATTAACAAAGGCACGAGGGGTTGGTTCACTCGATTGGGAAACCGATCCGCATAAATATGTGCCATTTTTTATTTCGTTTGAGCCACGCAGCAAACACCACTATTCACTCACGCGTTACCGCTGACACAGACTGAATAAAAACATCGTGATCAGCGTTTCAAATTCTTTCGCTGTTTTGTTTCCGATGCGATGAACCGATAAGGCGGAGTATATCCGTTTGTCGCCAAACACGAGCACATAATATTATTATTGAGACAGGGCGGTACTCAAACTTCTAAAGGGCTATAACTTTGTTACTTTATATTTTACCACAAAAATGTTAAAGGAAAAAAACATTTCTTTTGATCAGATCTACTCACTGTTAAAATAAATGACTCAACTTCGAAGTCACCCTGTATAAATTCCTTCATGGAAAAACAAGATAGAATATGGAGTCACCATTACTACTTCTCTACCTGCATATTTTGCTTCGTCTTTTTCATCTCCTCTTGTCTATTTTTGATAGGTCCGTGACTTTAACCATTCGATGTAACGGAAACAAAAAGTCGATAGTACCTCCTGTCTCTAGCCTGTCCCATATTTGCTTATGCTCCTACCCCACTGCGTCAGTACAATTTGACATTTGGCAGTTTTTTTGTCATTCAAAACATTCCAAACATGAGCGCAGTGAAATTTTAGGCGGTGTTTCAAGGAAAAAAGATCGGTCGAAAAATAGAAGTTGATGCCATTAACTATTATCGTTTCACGTTAGAAAAAACACAAAGAAATCAAAATTATCCGTGATGTCTGAGGAAACTGGAGGAGGTTTAATCACAAATTTCAGTAAGACAATTGGGGTTACTGAACCAGCCCTTAAGTTGATATTGACTGTTTTTGCAGGTAATTTTCTTTTCTTTTTGTTTAAGAGAAAGTCGGAGTTCATTCCTGAACTCCTGAGTCACGTTATATTTGCTTTACATTATTTGTTCAAGTGCGATGTTATCTTTGTGATTAGATAACCAATCACACAAAACACTGAGGAAGCTATAAATAATCATTTTAAATCCTAATTTGTCTTCTCATGGTATTGATGAAGGTTCATAGAAATTGAAGTGTCTTAAGATTCTGATTACTTTCTGTTAAACTCTAGCAGTGTTTGTAAAATAGATCAGAATTAAAATGAAATATTATGTTAAGCCATTCTTTTTTCTGTATTGAAGAAAGAGTAATCAGTCAAAATCATAGTCTTTAATCTCTATTGAGACACCTGGAGTCATCCATGTTCTTCCTAAGAGTTACACTAGGTTTGGAAATCAAGCACCCAACACAAGAATAGATTCTCATATTTATAGGGCAGCTAGGCAGTTACAAAGCATATGCTTAACTGTTCTAATATTTTGTTCATATCCCCTCCTTAACATGTTCACAAAGTCATTTAGCACATGCGGTACACAGTGCACTTTATATTTAATCCTATTTTAAAGTTGCCATGGCTCCATAAGAAGCAGAACATGACCTGTACATTTGGTTCTAAGTTCGATCATATTCATATATTATATATTTTTTACTAACTACTAAATAAACTGGAATTTAGGAATATTTTCAATATAATTTTATTCAAGCAACCTTATTTTGTTACAAGGTACAAAAAACAGTTAAAACCTAACTTATAAATACTTCTCAAAACAGACAAAAGGCAAAACTAGAAAGAACTTGAAATTAAAAAAAATGCAAGTCTTAAAATTATTAGGAAACTAGGGTACCAGAATGTTTTTATTTAAAACAGTTCAAACACGTTGGTGGTTTATTGCTGCAGTAGGTCATCACTCTCTTAGCTTTGGCTTTTGCTTCTTTTGAGCCTCTTTCTCTTTGTAATTTGTCATAACAGGAAGTACACCATTTTCTATTGTTTATACATATGTTTTATGTTTTTTCTCTTATTTTTTATTGTTTTTAGTCATGTACCACCAGTGGTACACGACGTCCCTGAACAACAAATATATGTCACAGCCATACCACCGGTGATACATGACTAAAAGCAATACAAAACAAGAGAAAAAACATATGTATATAAAAGATTATTGATCACAAATACAAAAATGTTCACATGTTACACAAAAAAATATTATGGCGATGCTTTAACATTATCCTAAATTGGCTACATTGCGAACGTGTTATGGCTGTCATAGTCTTATATAATTTTATATGATTTTTCTTATACATATTATATAAGAAATATCAAGAAAGTAAAGCAATATCAATATAAAGTATTGTCTGACTGTTACTGTATTCATATTGATTGTATTTGAGATATTTCAAGGCAATTGTGAACTTCATAATAGCTATCAATTAATATATATCATAAATAGAGTAAAATGACCACAACAGAACCCTGTGTCATTGCTTAAAATAATATTAATAGCTAAAAGAATTTTTTTGATTTCTAATGGATATCTTGTAAGTATTGTCCATCATCAATTAAGATTTCATTCTTATTTATTTTATTAAGTATATAATAGTGAGCAGAAAATATTGGATGTAACTATATGTCTCTATTCTATAAAATGGTTGAATGCATTCTGCAATTGGTCCATTTTTCTATACCACATATAAAACAGATGCATAACGTAGTGAGAAATATTGCAGATGTAAACTTATTTTTTTACTCCCTGCCTTATTCCATCCCATCAATAACTCCATTCGATAAGGTTACCCATGCTTCCTGCAGTTTAGCCCACAAGTCTGCAGCACTAGTAGGCTCTTGTTGCTTCACCTGTCTGTCCAATTCATCCCACAAATACTCGATAGGAGACAAATCTGGAGACTGGGAAGGCCACATCATTATTTTAATTGCACCAAATTCTTGCTGCTGGTCCAAATAATTGCGGCATAGTCGACATGAATTCTTAGGGTCATTGTCTTGCTGAAATCCGAAATTGTTCCCAACAATCCTTGTCCTGAGGAAACAGCATGGTTTTTCAATATTTCCAAATACTGCTCTTTTCGCATTATACCCTCAATATGAACCAAATCTCCTGTTCGATTTCCAGCAAAACATCCCCAAAACCATTACTCTCCCACCTCCATGTTTAACAGTGGGCTGCAAGCATTGCTGAGCCATGTGTTCATGGATACAGGATTTTCCCTCGTTCTATTCAAGCTGTGTGTGAGTTCAGGCGCAGTTAAATGTCTATTTCGCTTACTTGTTATTACTATAAGCCTATCCTCAGGAACAGTTGTAACTCTGCGTCTTCCAGAGCGTGGACGATCTACGACACTGCCTGTTTCTCGCTTATTCTTCAAAATTTGAGACACTGTGTTCCGTCCTATATGCAGCCTCTCAGCAATCGCTCGAATGGACAATCATCACGTAAGGCACACACTGCCCCCCATTTTTCAAGAGAAACGTTTCCCATTTTCGATTATTTTGAAAAAATCTGACCCTAGCACATCGACTAGTAATTTATGGTAAACTAGGTACAATTTTTACTTTGTTTCATCGATGCCCAGAATGATTATGTATCAAATTACGCCATACATAATACATAGTACAGAAAAAGTAAACAGTGGCAGGAATTCGGCCCATTTATGACTGCAATGAACTAATAAAAATATAGGCATCTCTAAAGATGTTTACGTTTATTCTCTTTCAAGCGGTGTTTCACTGATTCTTATACATCTATAGTTTGAATAGTCGTATTATAGTTGGTAATAATCAATCAATATCATACATGCCTTATTTATTTTAAGTTCTCTTAAAAAAGTCACTGTCTCAAAATATTTGAGCGGTAGTGTATATACAAAATTCAAATATATTAATACCTAACCAACAACAAACGTAAGTTAGCTATCAACAAATAAAAAAATCAAGCTAATTCTCTAATAATGATTTTAAATCTAGACAAAGGAATGCCCAATATTTCAATTTCCTTAGTATTTACAATATTCAGTTACCTCTCAACAGGCAAGTGCATAGCATAATTCCTGTGATTATGATGTACCATAAATAACTGGTTCACTCTCAAATTAAGTGATGGAACATTGAATGAGATTTTGTTAAGGAGCTTAGGACACAGCATTTGACCATTTAATAGTTTAAATACGAACAATAAATCATTGTGAATAATACGCCTTTGACATATACTCTTCAAGTTCAATATTTTCAGTGCATCATCATCAAGAAGTGTTATATGAAGCTTATAAAGACAAAACCTAATACATTTATTCCGCACTCTTGAGGTCTGGACAGTTAATCACATAATAGGTAGATTAGTTCATTGATCCATATTCCAACAGACACCACAAGTGACATGTATAATAGTGAGAAAGTTCACTTTTTGATTTAAGAAAAAAATATAAACTTAATGAAAAGAAAATATTTATTACTATCAACATATTAGTAAATTCGGCGGGTTTCATTTCTTAAATATCATTACATCCAAATGTTTGCCATCCCTTCGGACACAGTCTCTTGCAGAGTTCTGGAGTGATGTTGTTTATTTCTTGTCGAATATTGTCTTTGTTCGTGGATTATTGGAATACGCTTTTGACTTTATATAACCCCACAAAAAATAATCCCATGGCGTGAGGTCCTGTGACCTAGGAGGCCAGTGAATGTCTCCAAACTTCGAAGAAATAGTGCTTTCACTGTGTCCATCGATTCTCTGGAAGTATGGGCAGTGGCCATATCCCGTTGAAACCATGTGTTTCTGTTAAATCAACGTTCTGTTCTTACAATAGGGGCAAAAAAGTGTCAATCATGTCCTTGTATCGCTCGGAATTGACTGTCAATGCATGACCGTTTTCATCAGACATACGGCCCAATAATACCGCTAAAGGATATGGCCCACCAGTCAACTTTGGACTATGTAGCTGTTGTTGATGTTTCTCTTTTGGGTTCGTTGGTGCCCAATATCTCCAATTTTGTTTGTTCACATAACCGTTTAGGTGAAAGTGGGCCTCGTCACTAAAAACAACGTTCTCGATTTTGCGCTGTGTAGGAAAAAGGTTCAACATCCGTTCAGCACAAGATTTCCGTAATAAGTAATGACTTTCCTTTAAAACATAGACTGATTGGATTTTATAAGGATGAAAACCCATTTTTTCTTCATTATGCCATGCAGTGTTGACCTACAGTATATTCAGATAAGATATAGACCGGACATAAACAAGACCACGTGATCATCGAACGCTGTAACATTCGGCAGGGACGTATTAAGAGTCACGCAGTACATATTTTAGATAGTAGATGCTGCTTTGCGTAACTTTGTAGTAAATTAGCACAATTCGATGTGTATACGATTGGTGACGGATATAGGATCATGTGGGGGTGGGGTAAGAAATATATAATGATGTAAATATACATAAGGGTTTCAAAATTTTCGCTTCGATTTCCAGCTTCGGATGCCGCCTGATGTTTGGTGAAATACAGTCGAATATAATCTCAAAATGGCGTTTAAATTAGCCTAAATTAAAAATAATCGTATATCTCTTAAAATTGCTTTTAGAATATTGATTAGTATATTTTTTGATTTCTAGGTAAATATGTAACCAAATTAAAACGTTCAAAACGTAAAAAAATGTGCATGGTTGAACATTGTCAGAAAGATTCTTGAATAGGTTTTGCCAAAATGGGTTCAAAAATGTCAATAATTAATTAAAAAATACAGTAGCTTTATAATTACTTATAACTTACCGAATTTGATGAACGACATCTTTTATTGGAAAGATGAGCTTGATGAGCTTTCATCATCGCTACTGCCTGAATCACCAACGTCAATAATGAATGGCTTGACTTGTTCCTCTAAAATATTGTCCAGTTCCCACATTCTCTTTTCAACTTTGTCTTTCACGTGCTTAATACAGTTTTCCCATTTTTGCGCTGTTATTAATTCTAGTGCTTCTTTGAAAAGTCCTTTGAGGTCACAAAATTTAAAAGTTGTATTGTGCTTAGCTATATAATTTTTAACCTCTGCCCATATGAGCTCAATGGGATTGAGCTCGCAATGGTATGGAGGTAAACGGAGCACAGTTTTATTTTGACTTGCTGCCATTTCGTCAATGGCGTATTTTTGATATTCCGCCTTGTGATCCTTGACAATTCTTAATAATTGTACTTTCAGCATTGCTTCTTCAAAGTTGATATTTTTCGAGCGGAGCCAATTTTGAACATCAACTTTCCTTGAAGCCGTTGTTGGGACCTTCTCCATTCTTCGACAATGATAAGGCGCATTATCCAACACAATTACTGCGTTTTCCTCTAAGTTCGGTAAAATTTTTGAAAACCACTGTTCAAACGATTCGCCATTCATTTCCTCGTGGTAATCTCCAGTTTTCTTAGACTCAAAGCACCACAAGACCGTCAACAACAAATCCATCCTCACTGCCAATATGGCAGATAATGAGCCTTTTCCCTTTACCTGGAAATCGAAGTACTAACTGGTGTAGATTTATTTCAATAAGCGAACCTTTTTCAAATGTTTTCATCACATTCAGCGAAAAAACATTGAGACATGAGTATCAGATTGCTATAATTGGGATTATTTAGTCATATTGAAAGAAAGAATATTGAACGTCGTATGATTACTCAGCGCTTCACAATTTAATTTAAAGTTATAAACCTCTAAAAAATGAATGATCAGGAACCTGAAATACGCGCAAATATTAATATTAACAAATTATAACTTTATAAAGCTTAAAGTATGAATTAAAATGATTAGAAATATTAGGAACGGTACACAATATAAAACTTAGTAACTTTTTTTAAGTTTATAATATTCGACATATTTTAAGATTATATTAAAAAATTATTGAAATATCGAAAACACATAAAAACATGGCTTAAAAAAGTTCTAACAAATGAAAATGACAATAAAACATCCACGCATTTTATCGAAAGTTATAAAAGTTTTGTTACTTGTAATATGTTTTATCTGCCCCCTGGAATTAATGTTTAGAACCTTGTTCCCAAGGTTTGAAAAACATCCGATTGTTGTCTATTACTCGTATTTACCTGCTGGATTTTTTAATCCGGTGGACAGTCCATCTAGAAAGGCCCTCCTGGATGAAGTTACAGAATCATCAACCCATACTTTACTTGTAGTGTGTCCTGCGTTTACCCACGTTTCATCAAGGTAATAAATCTTCCTGTTTTGATTTCTATATTTCCCAATTTTTGTTAAATAATCCCTCCTCCATAGCACAATTTCTTCTCTATCCAGTAGTAAACTATTACGACCCCGTTTTTTCCATTTGAAATTTAAATGCTTCAGTAACGCATGGAAAGTTGATCGTTTGAAATTTGGCAACGTTGTATCTCCATTTACCTCCTGCAGTACTTTATCTATAGTAGGTATTTCATTCCTAAAGAAGAATTCATGCACTTTCCTCCTAATCGCATGCTTATCAGCTTCATCCAATGATTTAACAATACTTTTGCGATGTTTACTGGTCATTGGCTCAGAAAAGGTGTGATTTTTTTTGTATTGCCTTAACACATTAAACACTGAAGCGCGACACACCCCCAACTTTGTGAGAAACCTTCACAACAATTTCTTTGATGGTTGATGCCTCGTTCTCCTCGCGCTCGATCTTATATATATTCAAAATGTCCTCTTTCATTTCTGCACTCAGGTGTCTTTTTTTAGAGCGTTTCCTAGGTGGACTACAGGAGTTTACAACTTCATCGGCAGTATCTGTACTACTGGGCATTTTGCGCAAGCAGTTGATAACAATAACAATCAATAACAAGGTATAACAATAACAACGACAAACTCAACAACTTAATGAGATAACAAACGAAAACGTCCAAAGAAATATCAAATTGCAATGATGCACACGACATACGTAACACGTCTGAACCTGAATGTGACTCTGCCTTGATACGACTGCTCTGCCGCTCGGCATAGGCATTTAATTGCGAATTGACCAATGAGGGCTCCTGTTTTACGTCGAGACGGCGGCGTTAGCGTGAAAATCACCCGAACCTTTTGTTTACATCCGGTCTATCTCTTATCTGAATATACTGTAGGGATTCCCAAAGCAGCGGAGTGCTTCCGATTTGCAATGACCGAATCACTTACTCGACGCACATTTTCTTCGGTTGATACAGTAGGTGTGGGCCAGTAATGGGTTGACTAAGAGTAGAGCCTGTTTCACGGAACCTCTTAATCCACTTTTTCAACAGGTTGTTACTTGGGGCATCTCTTGGAATGTTGTATCGGGTACAAAAGTTCCGAAGGGCGGCTGCGTATGAATCACCTCTCTTAAAGTAAGCCTCGATAGCAAAAACACGTTGCGCTCCGGACCAACGTTCCATTGTGACTATTTAACCCGCACGCCGAACGCGTCGATCAAGACCTCTCCCCACTTCCTCGCGATATGGTTGCCGCGCAATTCAAATTTGAAATTTTAACTTTCTCACTCGACACCCTGTATTTTTCACGTTTCTATAGATAGCTTCTTATACAATTACATATCATAAAACAAAGGAAGTTATAAGCGTTTAGTACAATAGTGTTTATATGTGTTGAAACTTATTTGTTCATCAGAGAGTATACCAAGATCTTTTATGACATTGCAATATTCAAGATTACTGTTGTCTATAGTGTAAGAATAGTCCACCTTCTTATGTCTATTGTAAAAACTAATATGGTTACATTTGCCAATATTTAATGATAACTCACATAATCAAAGAAGTTTTCATTCAAACAACAAAATGAAATAGATTTCATCAGAAATATGAACCTAGAGTTTTATCAGTTGAGAAAAGGTCAGGACTTCCCTTTACAAAACGTATAAGCAAGTATTCCTGTTAATGTAACAAAACCTTAAGATAATCGACATATGTTTAAAAAAAAACTCCAACAGTGATAACTTCAAGCAGTAATTATAAACAAAGCATGTAACACTGCAGTACATAAAATGCCATACCAACAAATAGTACTTACTTTTCTTCAATTTCTTTTTTGCATTTTCGCTGCTTTTTTACCGCAAATTAATTTTGTTATTTCAAACGTAGTTGCTTCTGAATAGGAAAGTCTCGACTTTCAGGATGCCCTATATGTAGGTATGAAGCCTTGCTTAGAAAAATCTAGAAATAATAACAAATAATATCTCTAAAGGATATTTTTCCAGGTTATCCCTTGGCTCTAATACACAGAAAATATCTATATGGAAAGGATGTCAGTTTACAGCACCTATTCTTCATCGTAACAGGATTTGCTTTAGGCTATTGGAATTATGGCAAAGATATAAACCATTGTGTTTTAACAATATTTTTTACCTATTGTACCCTTTTATTATTGAAAGGTACAGCAATATGCGTGGCTGTTATATTTATATTTACTATGTCACACCTTCTAATAGGTGAGTATTATGACGTCTTTATTATTTTTTTTCTTCATTGCCACCTATTTAAAATTAATAACATATACTATAAATCCGAACACCCAGTTTAAATGGTTTAATTTTAATAAAATTTTGTATAAGTACTTAATGAAGCATAATAAGTAAATGATAAAAATTTCAAAATGATTGCACTGCTTTAAAGCCTTTTGACCGTTAATAATGTGTGGATGCACCCTGATGTGCTACGCATTCTCCAACGCGCCTAGGCATGCTTCTGCTCAGGTGGTCAATGTCCTCCTGTGGTATCTCATTCCAGGCAACCACCAACTCCTCTCGAAGTGCTTCTAGAGTCTGAGGAGGACGTTGCAAATTGAGCAATCTCCTACCCATCATATCCCACACGTGCTCAATTGGGGATAAGTCGGGAGATCTTGGTGGCCATGGTAACAATGTGACATCATTATGTTGAAAGAAGTCTATTGTGACTCTTGCTACATGTGGTCGGGCATTATCTTGTTGGAAAGTTGGATCTGCCAGGGTGTCAATATAGGGTAAAAGATGGGGTTCTAGAACTTCGTGGACATGTCTTTCAACAAAAAACTGTGGATTCCTCCTTTCACCACGTCGCCTTATAACCCTGGCACGACCATCGTGCATGCCTAAACAAAATCGAGACTCGTCACTAAAGACAATACTGTTCCATTCCTGATCCCAGAGTGACCGTTGTCTGCACCACTCAAGGCGATTACGTCGGTGTTCTCGAGTTAAAAGGAGGACCCAGTGTGGCCGGTATGAAAACAAGCCAAAACTTCTCATTCGTCGGTAAACACTTCGCATGCCAATAGGTCTTCCGTGTTCTGCAAACCATTCATTTGCAATGGACCTGGTAGTGGAGAAACGGTCCCTTAAGGCCAATAATCTTAGGCGGCGATCTTCACGGTCTGTTGTTCTACGGCGGCGTCCAGTGCCCCTTGCTCTTTGCATACGGCCTTCTCGAAGCCATGCCTGACAACACCTAACCACAGTGTCTACACTTCTTTGCACTCTAACTGCAATTGCCCGAAAAGAAAGTCCAGCTTCCCGAAGTCCCACTATACGGTCCCTATCAAACTCACTAAGTTGACGAAATCGTACAGGTCTCCGTACTCTAGGCATCGTAACCGATCGTAAAGGATGTCAAGAACCAAAATCCGCCAACGTTGATTCTTTACTGCGGCTGAAATGTTCATTTTTAGAGCGTTAGTGAATTTAAAAAAAGCAGTATAAAAACCGGAATGTTCAACTGATAAGGCTGAAAATTTTTTCACTTGTTATTTACAGTAAGATAAATACATTCACCAACTTTTATTAAAATAAAACCATTTAAACCGTGTGTTCGGATTTATATGTCACTTAGTATACATACATGTTGATTATACTTTGAAATTCTGCATCATTGGTTCTTGTATTTGAGTCGTTGATTTTCAATGTTGAGACTATTCTTAATTTATTTTTAGGATATCTGTACTGCAGCACAGATAGTTATGATATTAACTGGACTATGCCACAATGCATATTGGTTTTAAGATTAATTGGTAAGTTCCATTTTGCACTCTTCACATTACGTTTTGTAAATAATTCATGAAATTTGTATTGCTGGTAAGAATTACAAGTAAAATACTTCGCAATTTTTGCAATGTACTGTTCCACTGATTTACTATGTGATAATTTTTATCAGCCAACATTTAGATATCTACTTGTTGAACACAGTATTTTATCAAATGTGGTAATGACCCCTTGTTGGATTATCAAATCCTCAAAAAATGAATATGGTTTGTTCAGTTTGAAGACAAATGGACTTTTTGATACATCATTCGTATGTTGTGTTGTTTTCAAAGATTTGTTATGGTTTTAGAGATAATGATCAAAGAAGAATACAAAATAAACATTTTTATAATTTTTGAGCTTTTATCGTAAATTCTTGGTGTGATATTAATTGAAAATCCTCAGTAGATGATTATGGATATACAGGGAAAACCAAATTTTTCTGAAGGCTTGATTTTAATGTTTACGATACAGAAGCACGATACGTGTGTATGTTAGAAAGAGATAGAAGCCGGCTGAAGGGCGAAGGTCATTACTACATTGCAGCAACGGTGACGCAGAAGATCGTGCAATCTGACGCGTTGCCAATATGTTACACCAGAAAATGTTCGCACAGGCTGCTAAAATAGGTTAGGTTATCGTCAACCCCAAGAAGGAGGTGTGTTAGAACATTTAATTTAATATTTTGTTTTCATTTTGATTAGAATTATTTATTTCAATTTTGATGCCAGTTAGTGTTTTAATTTCTTCTAGAATCATATTTGATTTCCACCTATGGTGGACAGCGCTGTGGTCGGAAAATGTAACACATAACACTATGCAATACAAATGGACTTCATTTGTAGTTGGAACCTTCACATAGATTATCTTTGTAAGAAAATCACTCCAGTGTGGGTATTGCATCAATAGACTCAGGTTTATAGTTGATACTATACTACTATTAATGTACTTTTCCTACTTTCAACCAGCTATAACCTATGGTATAATAGCTTAGGGGCATCTTATCTAGCAAATAGGGGTTTTATTATTCAAAATAGGATTATAAGAATAATGGCAGGGATAAACAAGTTAAATTGTTGCAGAGGGATTTTTAAAGAGATGGGAATTTTAACTTAACATGTATCTATATTTATGAGCTATTGATACATGTCAAATCAAACTTGACAAGCTTTCGCTGTCTAACCGACAACACTTGTTCTGCACGAAAATCATCTCCGCCAAACAAATGCGTTATATCGATAATTCTAGTCCAGAGAGTTCCAACAAAATGCTTTAACCAGGTGTAAGAATGTAGTCTAGGGAAAGTATGTGCAATCTGGCAACACCGCATGGGAGATATCTGAGAATGCCCCTCAGCTACGAAATCTCAACCCCATAGGGCTTCAAATAAAGGAGATATCCATTGAACCCCATGTAATTCCAGATTTCATCGTACCCTATAATATATACCGGACATTGACACTGAATGGCCCCTGTATACAAAAATCGTTTCCGAATTCTTGATTCCCGCTGTTTCTAGAAAATACCAGATCTTCGAAATGGGTATATAAGCAGCCAGCCGCTGTGGGAGGATCAGCATTACAGTATTCAGCAGTGGATACATGGGCGAAACAATGCCGTTGCGATCCTGTGTGAACCATCCGAACGGTTTCTGTTATATTGAAAGCTCAGCGAAAGAACTTGAGCCCACTTGTAAGAAAATCCTACGAATTATATTTCGGGTTCAAATTTGCCGTTCAAGACAAAAACTTGGACTCCCAAAACATGCTGCTGCACTTGCTCAAGAACCTTAGCAGGATCGCTACGGGGTACTCACACTTCTATGAAATTTGGAGTGCCAATGATTTGGCGGTAACCTAATAATTTTTTTTCCGTGAAACCCTTAGATAGAGAAGGAAATGCATTCTTTTATTTGAGACGGAAATTCCCGCATATAAGTGAAGCAAAGCTTAAATACGAGAACTTTTCTAAGACCAAAAGTTTATAACTACGCTTTCGAGAAAGGAAAAAAGGGCATGGGATGCCTTCAAAAATGTATGTAGCAACTTTCTAGGCAACAAAAAGTTGGACAACTACAAAGATCTAGTAGAAGAACTCATCTTTTCTTCACTTCCATCTAGAATTCTTCGCTGACAATTTGGGTGCAGTTTCAGACGAGCACGGCGAAAGATTTCACCAGAAAATTGCTCAGGTGGAGAAGCGCTATAGTGGAAAATGAAACCGAAACATGCTGGCGGACTACTGCTGGACCATTAAACGTGAAACCGCTCCTGGCGAATACAAGCGAAACAAATTTTATCTTCGATGTTGTTCCCTCGAGCCCACCCTCCACCCTGACATTCCAAGAGTGGAGTGAGCTTACGTCCGGAATTCTTAGTGCTCGAGGGATCCATCATCATTAATTTGTTTGTTTTAGAAGATAACCGACTGCATAGCTTAGGTGTGGAAACATGCGGACATTTATAAGACACCTTCTTTTTGCATGTTGATATTAAATATACCTACCGGCAATCGGTACTGAGGTATACCTTAACGCGTGTACAATCACTTGAACGGGAAGAAGTTGTATACTGGATACAACAACTTCCGGAACAAGCATTTCCCACGGCCCCGCTCAGTAGCGGTGGCTGTTGAATAATGATATGAACATGATGTGATTTATAAAAAAACTAACATATAAATATCTTTCCTTCATTGCTAATCTACGATACAAAATTAATCTACATTTATATTATATAGATTTTTTTTAGTCCAATCAATTAATTGTAACTATGTATGTTGTGTTAGAATGATATCTACATACAAGAATATTTTCATTTTATGGCATATCAATGTATTCACAATTTGTAATTGATGTGAACAAATTATTATTATTATTATTATAATTATTTGGTTACGACATTATAAAAATGTTTAAAACTTGTATGTGTTCAAGATGTTCTATTGCAGCTTGTTTCAGTGAACTTTGAGCAAAACGAACTGCTTAGTTACGTATTTTTTGTGATATTACAATTTTGCTTGCAATGTGCACTTTTGATCATACCGAACTTTAGGAACATATAAACGTTATCTCAGAATTTGAAGGAGATCCACCGTCCTGTTTTTTACATATTTGGCATGGTATTGAACTTTTCCAGTATTATTTCATTTTTGTAAAAGAAAATAATTCTGTCTATGTTTGAAAAACAAACTATACGTCACTTGAGCGGCATTAAAACGTTACTGCAGAGTTGGAAGATAGTAATCAAATGAGTTTTCGGAATACTTAAATCTACGTTTCCGTCTTACTCCAATGTTCGGTATTGAAGCTTACCTGGTTTTCTTGTTACTAACCGCATTACGGTTGTTCCACCGGTGGTTTGAGAGAAAACATTTGACTGTCGTACCGATAACAGTTTAACTTGTATCTCGTATTTTTCAGGAGTTGCATTTGATTACTATGATGGACACCAACCTCCAAACACCTTGTCAGCAGACAGCAAAAAACTCGCATTACAAAAAAGACCTAGCCTCTTAGAATTATTTGGCCATAGCTTTTTCCCTGCTGCTTTCATAGTTGGCCCACAATTTTCCATGAAAAGATATCTTCAATTTGTTGGGGGACAATACAGCAAAAAGGTACAGTATTTTTTTAGAGAAATAGCTATATCTATAAGGCAACCAAATGTTGGTTTTGGCCTATTCAAGTGTTTCAGGTGCCAAATAGACTTTATGAATCGAGGTAGTAATAGTTTTTTAAAAATCCCCAATCTCAAAATGACAAATAGACAGATATGCTTTATTTACTGAAGAATACAATGATTCTTAATGACAAAGCTAACTTAAAACTAAACAAAGTTACATATGTGGATATTAATAAATAAACTCACACATAGTATAATGTGGTTTACAAATAATGAAGTTTTTAAGTTCACAGCGAAATATCTTTAAATTATTGATTTTTTTGATATCATCAGGGAGGCACTTGTAAATTTTCAGACCATTGTAAATGATTGAGTCTTCCATAAGTGTTGATTTAGGTTATTTTTAAAAATAAGAGCCGCTGTTTCAAAAATAAACAAATGATACGACAGTCATTATTTTGAGATTTAAAAATAAAGACCTGCATGTAGCTCTAGGATTGATTTTAGTTATATTTCTAATAGATCTTTTTTGTAGAATAAGCTCTTTTTTTAAACAAAAAATGATCGTTGTCATTTTGATTTGTACTGAAACATTAAGCCATACATACCTGGTTTGACTTGGCCAGAAAAAATGGGTGTCAAGCGATTTCTTAAATTAAAATTTCAAATGATTTTAGGATACTATCAATGACCCTCCAGATTGTATAGAACCAGCAGTTCAAAGGCTATGTTTAGGAATTGGATATCTGATTGTATTCCAAACACTGGGAATGTTTGTGTCTGATGAATATCTTCTCACAGATGAATTTGCCAATGTAAACTTTTTCAAAAAAATGCTGTTGTTGGGCATTTGGGGAAAATACACCTTGTACAAGTATATTTCTTGCTGGTTACTATCTGAAGGAGCTTGTATCATGTTTGGTAAGTGAATCTGTAATCAAATCGTGAAAGAATGCATGCATTTTATAAAACGGTGAGGTCAAGTTAGATCCATGTTACTGTTAAAAAGAACAATAGATGCTATAGGCGACACTACATATGAAAAATGGCCTCAAAGGTATAAGGAATACTGGGTCAATTAGCCTTAACCAAATTTTCAGATCGATAGGTCGCCCCTAGGGGCTCCTAACCTCAAAAACGCATTTCTTTAAATATTTTTTACAGGCGCAATTTTGTCCAAACAATTTTGAAGAAATGTCATCGCTACACTGTTATATCCTGCGTAACCGCGATTTTTATAGATTTGTGTAACGTAGAGGTTCGCCAAAAATAATTGGAATTATTTTTCGATTTTTTTGTTAGATAATGAAAATTTCGCAAACTTGAAAATTCTCTGATGTCACTGCTTTCGTGCGCTCTTTGCAGAACCTCTAAAAGAATCATTTTTGTAGGTTGCATTTTCATTTGTTTCACGAAAAATTGAGGAAATTTGAAATAACACATTTTTGCTGTTTTAATTTTTGATACTTTTTATTATGATAGGAATAGTTGGATACATTTGTAACCCATTATACATACACGTTTCTTACATTTTTCCAGTATAAAATAACGATTTCTTGTCCGGAAAATTGGCAAAAATCCACAGATTTTTCCAATTTTAGCTATTTTTAGATTAGGATATTATAAAGTCGCTAAGTCCAAAGATCAATGCACACATGTATTTTTGTAAATTGTTTCAGGTTTCATTGTACTCAGTTCCAAAAACAATGATTTGTTGCCCGAAAACTTACTTTCACAGATTTGTTCAATTTCAGAGATCTTTAGTGATCATAAGTTCGGTAACACAAAAACTCGGTGCACATTATGTATTTTAGTGCATTATTTCCGGATTCCATTGTAACAATTGTGATTTATTGCTCGGAATATTGAGAAAAAAAGGAAATGCCGTATTTTTATGTGTACGTCTTTACTTGAAGGTCGTTTTTTTTTAATTGTATAGCAAATAACTTTTTGCAGGTTTGGCCTATGATGGAGAAGATGAAAAAGGCAATCCAAAATGGAACGGGGTCGAAAACATTGAACTAAACATTTTCGAAAATATCACACAGTTCCAGGATTACGTGAAATCGTTCAATGTGAACACCAACAAATGGTTGGGTCAGTATGTCTACAAAAGACTGAAGTTCCTCGGGAACAGGTTGATCAGTCAATTCGTGTCCTTGATGTTTTTAGCTGTCTGGCATGGTTTCCACAGTGGATATTATGTGTGTTTCATGTTTGAGTTTATCGTTATCTACATGGAGAGAGATGTGAGTATACAATTTTTATTGAAATATAAATGTTTATGCATACAGTTGATTATGGATTCTACTGCTTCTAGGGATATTATCTGTAATATGTGCCTATACTATGTTTATTATAGGGTGTTTTCAAAGTTGAGTCATTTATTTTAACAGCTTATAGAACTCGTCAAAAGAAGTTGATATACCAAAAATCACCTATATAAAAGTTGCATAATAAGAGAGTTTACATTATTAAAAATTATTTAAAAAAAATCATTGTCAAGTTAAATGGATACCGTTTTTACAAAAACTGTTCAAAATTGCCCTTATTTGTTCGATTAACGCAGAAGCTTGCATTTTCAGAAAGTTGTTGAAGTTCTTCTGGAGTATTTACTGCTCCATCATGATACACGAATTCATTCAAATGGCGCCACAGAAAAAAGTCGCAAGGCATTAAATCCGGAGAGCGAGCAGGCCAAGAAATGGGCCCTATCCATCTATTCGGAAACTCATTATTTAGATCAGAGTTCCCCAAACTTTTTTGTGTCGTATACCCCTTGCCATGTTTTTCCGTGTTGGGTAGACCCCCTACTTACCTGAAATTGATTTCCTGTAAATTTCTAACTGTAGTGAAGTTTAGTGTTAAAACCTTAGAGTAAAAACACATGTTAATTTATACATTTATTAATTGAATTTAAATTAAAACTACTCAAAATAAAATTTTGTATCTATTATGTAAAATATACATAACATTAAATAAACAGGTGTCTGACCAATAAGTGCCCGCATTGGGAATAAGTGCCCGCATTGAAAAAAAAATAAGAGGGATAAAATAAAAAAAAAGTGAATCTTTCAACAGTATTGTTGCTTAAGGGAATTCTTTTAATGATATCAGATGCAGGTTTGTGTAAAACAGTTTTTAAAACCTCTTCAACGGCTGGCAAAATTAACTTCTCTCCGATAGTATGCAGTTTTCCAGATTTTGCTATAAGTCCGCAAACCATCATCATTTCTTTGTGACGTCGAAGCGAACATTCTGTCCAGTGTAGGTCTCTTCTGAAATTTATCTTTGAGTGTTTGAAAGTATTTCAAATGTTTCTCTGTTTTATCAGGATGGCATCTTCTCAGATGATCTTGCAGTTTAGATGGTTTCATAGCGTCATTGCCCAAAACTTTGTTGCATAAAAGGCACATAGGCGATTGTTTGTCCGGCAATGATGGAATGAAGCCAAATTTCAAATAATCAACACTGTACTGTCTACATTTCTTTTTAGATTCGGACATGGCATCAGTCATCTGTGGGCAAAATTAAATTATTTAAATAAGACAGAAAATCCAGCAGCTGTATATTAAAAATATTTTTTTATTTTTCCGAAAACATTCCATAATTCGAACATCTTCTTGCAACAATTAGCTCGAATTACGGAGATTGCCCTGTAATTATATTACCGATTGCTAAAACTTTCAAAAAGAAACTATTGAGGAGTACTCGTGTAATTTTGCATGATTGAATATTTAACTACTAATAACTAAAGTCATGATTGGCGTAATTTATCTATCTTTGCTAACTACGAGTACAAAACTAAAATTTAATAAAAAATAATATACTTACTTTTCTCCAGCACTCTCAAACAAAATTACACTGACTCACTATAATTGGTGTGATATACTATCTGTTTATATTTTTTAAAATATTTTGTTAGCACTTTCCTTTTCAAGATTCAGGAAACGAATAAACGTATTTGTCCCACATTCGTATTTATAGACTGACGAATTGAACAAGTCAGTGCAAGGTAGCGAAGCTCTGAGACTGCGACTCTCAGGTTTTTACAAGTTCAAAATGTATTGGGACCACAAAGCGAATACCAACATCCTACAACTTACACAATTTTATAAACATATATAATAAATTTTTTATTATATATGTTTTATATATATTTATATTATAAGATAGGATGAGGTAAGTAAATAGGTACTATCAGTGTATGTGTTGAGATCCACTATCGTGGACCCCCATATTAATTTCATGGACCCCCAAATTTTTTTTCGCTGACGTAGACCTCTTGCAGGTTGTCATAGACCCCTAGGGGTCGATATAGACCACTTTGGGAATCAATGATTTAGATGAAGAAGACGCACTATTTAAAGACTGATACAACTGATCGAACCAAAGACTTGTACTGAAAACCATACAATAACACAAAAAGTTTGCCAAATTTAGATAAACAATAAGAGTAGTAAACAAAAAACGCTAAGATTTCACACGACTGTGGTCGGGAATATCAAAAATATGTGTATTAACGTTCTTATTTTTTTTAAATTATTAATCTTTTACTATTTCTTTTATTATGCAACTTTTATATAGGTGATTTTTGGTATATCAACTCCTTTTGACGATCCTACAAGCTATTTAAATGAATAACTCAACGTTAAAAACATTCTGTATAACATGTACATCACGAAAAACCATGTCACTCATTTCCATCTGTCTGACTGTCAGCTAATCATTGGACCACTTATAACTTGGAAAGTACTGCACGGATTTGGTTGAAATTTTTACACAAAGTTACTACTATGCCAGGGACGAAAAAGCTTTGTATATTTTGAAATTCGGCCCGGTGGTGGCGGGGCTAGGGACAAAAAGACGAAAAACACAAAAATAAAAGAGGCTGAGATTGTGTGAAGCCATCATTCCAAATTTTAAGATAGAACTAGGCAAAACTAGCATATCCCAGGACCGCCTGGGATAGGCATTCCTGCTCCCAAAAGAACGTCTTGCTCCCCAAAACCACAAGCGAGCATGAGGTTATCTGTCATTTTTTTAATATACCTTTGATACGTCACCCTCGTCCATCGTTCCAAAAATTCCAAAAACAGTAAAAAAACGGTCAAAACTTATCTGAAACTGTTGTAACACACCAGTTAATTTTCGTGCAGTCGTCGTCTAAAATATTGCAATTACATTGTTTACGGATCTGAAACACCAGGAAGGGAACCATGTTTTTTGTCCTGTAAGAAAATAATATAAGACACAACAGTTTATCCTTGAGATGGCGTAGTAAAACATCTGTGCGTTTGAGATCCAACAACAAACCATGAGAAAAAACCTGGATGAAAAACTCATGATCCATTAGATGTATAGGTAAATATGCTTTATTGTCTGGAGAATATAATCGTCCTTAATGAGAAAGCGAACTTTAAACTGTAACATAATTACATATGTGGATCTTAAGTAGGTGAATTATAGAACCTACACATGGCTTACATATTAAACAGTTGTTAAGTTCACGGCGGAATATCTTCAAATTGTTATTGGTCTTTTGGTAGCGTCAGGGAGACTCATTTGAATTTTCGTAGCATTATAAATTATTGAGTCTTTCACAAGAATTGATTTAGGTACTACTAGTTTAAGATCTTGTTTTCGTCTAATATTCTAACTTATTTAGATTTCTTTAAAAAGTCTTCGTTTAGAAAATGAACAATGATACGACGGCCATTATATCAAGATTTACAAATAAAGTCCTGATGTAGCTCTAGGATTGCTTTTAGTTATATATATATATAACAGCCAACACACTAAAAGGGAATACTCTATCCGTACTTTCAAATAAGGCACAGTAACTTCTGAAGGCTGTACTTTTCCATATATTGTAACTAATCGTTCTTAGGAAGGAGGAACCCTTTACTAGTTGAAGCAATTGTTCTACGTGACTAGTAAGATCTAATTTATGATCAATGGTCAGTCGCAAAATTTTGAGGGCAATGTTGTGACACAACTTTTTGATTGATTGTATATCACTATCAATTTTTGTCATGATTTCCTTTATATCTGTGGGTTGTCAAAGTATTGTGGTATCGTCATAGAAAACTACGAATGTACCACTTATATTTAAGTTTATTAAATTATTGATGTAGACTCAGAGTAGGATCGGGCCTAATACTGATCCTTGAGGTACTCCTGCGTTTATATTTAATTTATTGTCTTGGTAATTTTACAATTTGGGATCGATTTAAATATGTTTTAGACCAATTGAGTGAAGTTCTAGTACAACCATATTTGTTTAATTTTTATAATAATACATATAATTTACACAGTCAAAGACTTTGGAAAAATTTCAAAAAGAGCTATTGAAATTTGTTTATCATTTAAATTTGAGTATAATTGGAGTAATGTGAAAATAGCATAATTGAATTATTTTATTTTTGAAATCCAAGTTGACTGTCACTTATAATTTTGTTGGTTTTTATAAAGCCTCCTAATCTAATTTGAACTATTTTTTTATAACAGTAATTAAACTTGGGTCTATAATTTTCTGGTAAATCGCTTGGACCTCCTTTATAAATAGGAATAACTATTGATGTACTTAAAAATTCTGGAGAATAGCAATTATATTTTTCCTTTAAACATGTTCAACCACATTGGGTCACAGTTCATAGACGAACTAGAAAGCCAATTGTTGTTTAATTTTATATACAAACATGGAGGTTTATCGACAAGAAAACCACAGGATACGTTTCAGATGTTACATTAACAGTTATGTCTCCTCTTTCAGATAAAATCCATCATCAAATCCGACGAGCGCCTCACGAAATTCTTCAGCGATCCTCGGCTGCAACTACCCATAAATATTATCCTACGTCTCTACACATTCATCTTTATGGGCTGGTGTCTTTTGAGTTTTGGTCTCCTGCAGTTCAACAGATACATGCTGGCGTACAAAAACGTCAACTACGTCGGTATAATCCTATTTGTTCTTTGGCCTATTGTCTACGCGCCCATTATACGATTTGTATTAAAAAAATTCAAGAAAAACCGTTCCACAGAATAACGGTCTGCTTTAGTTGTCCCTAGAGATATGACTTTTTGTGCCTGATTCTAATTGGGCTATGTGTACATACATTGATTAACATATTTGGCTAGAAAGTACCCAATCCAATTGAAAGTTGAGTCTGCGCGAAAATAAGTATACGTGCCAACCACTTATGGTTACAACTATAATGTATTATAACGAAAACACCGCTCTTGCAACTAATTTATCACAAATTTATAAATATGTTGACTCCGTATTGTTGATTATGCATCGTCAGCTATCCAGTATCCGACTCGGGCATTCTGCCCTCTTGGCGCCTGTTTATGTTCAAAATTCGGTCAGTTCAGAGCCTTCTCGGACGCTCCCGATGTCGGCCGATCGTTGTCGCAAGCTCTTTTGGACGGTGGCGTAACTGTGGTTGCCTAAACGTCGATATTGCAAGGGCGTCTCATCGTTACTCAAGGTCACAGTTCCGGGGCGTTAGTGTATCCAGAGAGTATGGAAACAATCACAAAAAGTATGGAAACCTCAAAATGTCTCAAAAAATGTTTCCTGGAGAAAAATGTTATGGAATAAATTTGTAAGGTTTGGAAAGAGTCCTCTAATGGTAGCATTGAACGCGACCTTGACCGTGACCTACAAGGTTATTTGAATGTCAAGACAGTTTTCTTAAACGGAAGCTCATTTTTGAACCCTAAATGTAAAGCAAAACATGTTCTTGCCCTTGACCTTCAAGATCCTTTTTGGGGTATTCAGAAAGTATGAGATGGACAAACTATCTCAAAAAATATGTTTCCTACAGAAAAATATTGTAGAAGAACATTGGAAGGTTTGAAAAAGTCCATTCAATGGTGGCATTGAATGCAACATTTGAAGGTCGAAATGAGTTTTAAAAGGAAACCTGTTATTTTCATCACCGGAAATGTATAGACCAAAAAATCTCATGTTGAAGTATGTTTTTGTCCATGTCCTTGGCCAATACCTTCAAGGTCATTTTAGGGAGTCGAAAAAGAATAGAAATGACAGTATCTAAAAAAATATGTTTCCTAGAGAAAATGTTGCAAAAATTCTTTAGACCCACAAGTGACCTTGAGGATCAAGATAATGGGCAAACTAGAACGCAAAATTATTCGGACCTTTACATACTCGGAATCAAAGTAGCGGTATCAAAATATCAGTTTTTCTTTCAAACGATCCTAAAATTCAACATAATATAGAAGGACATACTTGAGCATAAAAATATCCGTCCTTAATATTTGAGGTTGTAAAAAAATAGGAGTTTCCACTTAAGGAAAATTATTTGACCTTCAATCTTATAACCGCCTATAACTTGAGAAGTGCCGCTCGGATTTCGATGAAATTTTTATACAGTTAATACTATGCCAAGGACTAAAAAGCTTTGCAGTTTTTGAAATTCGGTGCAGTGGCGGCGGAGCTAGGAGCAAAAACGCGAAAAAATGAAAATCGCTCAAACATCGTTTTTGGACGTTTCATCTTGTTCCTGATCAACTTTCAGAAATAAAATTGTGGGGGTCGAAAACAGTTACGTTTCCAGCCCCAGTAGTTTTGCGCACCTATCACATATTTCACACATCAAAAATTACAGAAACATTTATAGTCGAGACACGCCGTCGGTCGGGGCCTCACTGAACCGTGCTTTGCGTTGTGATGTTATAGTATCGTGGAAAGTGTAGTCAACTTACTTGACATTTTTTCTACATTTTTCTTTAGGAGATATTTTGTTATTTCCACATTTTTTGACACCCTACTTATACGTGTCGACCCCGGTGGTGTTAACGTTTCCACATTTCGACACTCTCTCAAGGTTGAATGATTTCGTTTTCCGACGCGAAGTTGAGAAATTCGATGTATACGAAATATCTTTTCAAAGGTAAATGTTTTTATCACGTTATCACTGCGATTCTACATGGCAAACATGGCTGTGACAATAGAAATCTATGAGAACGTCCTTATACAGCATAGGGTTGGGTATCTTCTTGGATAATGTTTATCAATGTTATTATGTAGATTGTGTACATTGACGTGTATACTTGTAGTGTTTCACTCTTAAGCAACACATTAGAAGTGGTTGTAGGATATTTCGTTCTTCTTTAAGATACATTTTACACTTTAGGTTCTGAAAAATAGTTCATAAATATGTGCTTCATTCACATACCTTCATGATTGAAACATGAGATGACTCTAAATATTGAAGAAAGGCTTATATTTGTTGATAGAACTAGGGTGAATTACACGGGCCGACAAAAATGATCCGACCTTCTTCCACAGAAATGAAACAATATTTTCCGAAGGTATTTGATATCCTGAAGCCAAGTCTGTCGTCCAAATATTTCAATTGGCTCTAGTGGCTGAGATCTAATAACCTAAATGTGCGAAAATAGCGATTTTGCGTATATTCGAGATTTTGTAGCACGTCGAATTACTTTTTTTAAAATACCACAGGCGTCATCTCGAAGTACAAGCCTTAATTGTATCTTTGCCAGGAAACCATACCATCTATTCTACTGTTATTTATCATTCATGAAAATCAAGCTTTATAACAAAAAGCAGATCCCTGCAGATTCAAGCGGCCGGAGACTTAGACTAAAGAAAGTATTCATATGACGAATGAGATGGATCGGACAGAATTTCCCCAGAACAAGCACAAAAATCTCCCAGAATTTTTACTTTAAAAAAAAAATCTGCAGATCACGTTTAATTAATGGAAAAGTATAGTTTTGGTTAAAGAGTGGAGGGGATGCTTTCTAATCGCGAAATGTGTGTTATCAAGAATTGCCGTAGTTTCTGCTGGTATATAAGCTCTATGTTAGGATATCTCGCAAACTAGATCCGGGAAAATATTATCTAGTTTCTGGGTAAAAATTTTGTCGGCTTGCGTTATCGGTTTACATATTTTTTTATCTATTCTATGCTCATTTGTAAATTTCTCGAAATATTACTCATTTGTGATTGCATTCAAAATTGTTGGAAGCCTGAACTGTGCAAAACTATATTAGCTTTGTAGGATTTCTGACGCGTGTACAAATTTTCAACAAATCTATAAAATACGTAACAGTTTATTTTATTTAAAAAATATCTGAAGGATGTAGTAGATTTCTTATTTGTAATATTTTTATATGGTCGATAATTTTTATGTATCAGTTTGAGATAATTCAGACGCTACCTCAGATAAAACACACTATAAATTGTAAAGAGGCTTGTATTTGAACTATTAAAAACCCAAAGTTAACACAATGAGTGTGGTAAGTGACCCGCTAAAATCCGATGTGCAAAGCTAAAAACTAATGTGCATAAAGGTATCAACCATTTTATATAAGTTCTAATTTTATTATGACAGAGCTGTGATTTAAAAAAATGGCCAGTAAAGATGAACTATATCGACTTATTCAATTATAATGCCTTGATAATTAATTTTTGCCATCACAGATCTTTTAGAAATTACTTTTTTACATGGTATTTTTTGTTGTACTTACTCTTCATATGTAGGTGTTCGCTTCTATTTTATTGCACAAAATTTTTGTACATTTCGGTTTCTTCAAATAAACTTTTTTTACTGAAGAGTTTTCAACTTTCTTTTCACCTTTAACTCATTTTATCCAAACCGACCTTTTTTATACCAAAGCAGCCGTGCAGGCAGAAGCCTAAATGCCAGGGCACCTACTCTGAAGAGCTTAAAGAAATCTAATTCCATGTTTGAACTGCCTAAGGTTAGTAGAAGTGGACAGCGAGCGAGGGGTTCTGGACGTCCCAGAGGGATCACGGAACCGGTTAAGACTTCTGGCTCTGAGAGAAAGGTTCAGTAGTACTCGAGCCATCGCTAATCAGTGGTTTGACAATTTGACAGAGAGCGTCACGTGAACCATAATTTTGATGACCCACTCGAATACCTCGCCGTCCAGATCGACTTCCTGAACATCAATCACCCCGCTTCAGAGGTAGTTCTTCTCGATGATTTCAATGCCCATAATGAGCTTTGGTTGGGCTCAAATAAGACCGATGCAGCAGGTCGTGCAGTCGAAGCGTTCGCTCTTACTCAAGGGCTGACCCAGCTAGTGACGAGCCCTACTTTTTTCCCCCGCGTCTCGTCACACGCCAGTAGCCTGCTGGATCTCTTTCTGACCACGCATCCTGCCCCTTACAGCACTGCTGTCCTGTCCCCCCTGGGTAACTCAGATCACGGTGTTGTGGAGGTTAGGTTTCGGTCAGAAGCCGCTGTGGCAGCAGAAACTCGGACAGGCCGCAAAACTTGGCATTACGGACATGCCGACTGGGAGGGGCTCAGAGACTTCTTCTCTAGCTTTCCTTGGAGTGATGTCTGTTTCACTGACGCGGATGCGTCGACTGTCTGTTCTTCAATAACCGAAATTATCCACGTCGGAATGGAGGAATACATCCCTCACACAGTGAAAGTTCCTAAACCAGGGTCCAACGGCTGGTTCAACAAATCGTGTGACACTGCTCGCCAGCAGAAGATCAAGGCCCACAGAACCTACTTACAAAACCCCACTGTAGAGAACAGACAAGCCGACGTCGAGTCCAGAAACAAATATAACGAAGCGGTTCGCAATGCCAAAAACCAGCATGATATAAAAGTTAGGCACAGGGTAATGTCGCAGCGCAATGGCAGTCGGTCTTTCTGGACGCTGGCCAAGCAGATTGAAAAGAACTTCTCACACAGTAGCCTTCCACCACTTACGTGTTAGGATGGAACTATTGTATTCGACTCAAAGGCCAAGGCGGAAGTGCTAGCCAAGATCTTTGCTGCCAACTCCACCATGGACGTCCCCACCAACGCCCAAGTGCCGTCAATTCAAAGGGTTCCCCACACTATGCGGGAGGTAACATTCAGGCATAAGACCGTAAGACGAGTGCTCTTGTCGCTCGACATCAACAAAGCTTCTGGTCCGGACTTGATTCCTGCCATTGTACTGAAGAGATGTGCAGCGGAGCTTGCTCCAGTTTTTTCGCGTCTCTTCCAGATATCTTATGAATCCGGCACCTTCCCAGAAAACTGGAAATTTGCTCATGTACAGCCCATCCCAAAAAAGGATCTAAAACCGACCCTTACAACTACAGGCCTATAGCTCTGCTTTCTGTTATAAGTAAAGTGATGGAGATGTGCATAAATCGCGAGCTTCTGGACTACCTCGAACGTTACAGCTTGATTAGCGACAGGCAGTACGGTTTCCGGCACCAACGATCCACAGGGGACCTCCTAGCTTACGTCACGCAACTGTGGAGTAAACTCATCCACTCTAATGGTGAGGCTCATGTCGTTGCTCTTGACATCACGAAAGCGTTCGATCAGCTGTGGCACGCTGCCCTCTTAAGCAAACTTCCATCCTACGGCCTCCCAGAAAAGCTTTGCAGATGGGTGGCTGACTTTATCTCTGGCCGCAAGATATCCGTCGTAATTGACGGATTCTCCTCTTCATCCCACAACGTCAACGCGGGTGTTCCCCAGGGATCGGTCTTGGCTCCAACACTGTTTCTCTTACATATCAACGACCTCCTTTCCTGCACGATCAACCCAATCCACAGCTTCGCTGATGACAGCACTCTACATGCAGGAATTCAGAGTGACAAGCCGATCTCTGCCGCTGAGCTGGAAAAAAGAAGACTAGCGACGACTTCTTCTCTGACAAGAGACCTGGAGGCTATCACTGCTTGGGGACGCAACAATCTTGTACAGTTCAATGCTTCCAAAACACAGTACTGTACTTTGACGAACAAAAAGCGTCCTAGCGCTCATACAGTTTCGATGGACGGTCGAGTTCTACCAAAGAGCCATTCATTTCGGCTGGTCGGAGTCCAGATCACCGAGGACCTGATCTGGCACGAACACATCTCTTCAATAGCTGCAGCTGCTGGGAAAAAGCTAGGCTATTTGTTTAGGGCTAAGAAGTACTTTTCTCCGCATGACCTTCTCACTCTATACAAGGCCCAGATAAGGCCTAGCCTCGAGTATTGCTCACACATTTGGGGTGCTGCCGCCCCGACTACATTGTCCATGCTCGATGCTGTCCAGAGGAGGGCGGTCCGACTGATCGATGACTCTTCCCTAACAGACAGTCTCGGGACTCTTTCGCACCGGCGGGCCGTCGGCGATCTAGCTCTTTTCTATCGCTACACCAACGGGCTTTGCTCCTCAGAGCTCTCTTCCATGATGCCGCCGCGCGATGTGCCTGCCAGACAGACCCGCCTAACTTCGGCGTCCCATCCTGACCGTGTCAAACTTCGTACATCCAGAACTGGCCGATACGACCGCTCCTTTGTCCCGAGGGTGTCTAGATTGTGGAACAGTCTGCGGGAGGAAGCTTTTCCCAGTTTTACTAACCTTAGGCAGTTCAAAAATCGTATTAACAAAATTTCTTTGGGATCATCATAGCAGCCGCGGTGTTCCGGCATTTAGGCTTCTGCCTGCGCGGCTGTTTCGATATAAAAAAAAAAAACCTAAACACCATCCAAAACCCGGTTTTTCAGCAAGACAATTGCTGGATGTTGCCAGAGCATCGTTAGCATTCATGGATCAACATCGCATCAACCGTTTACCTTGGCCACCACGATCGCCTGACCTATCTCCAATTGAACATGTCTGGGACATGATAGGTTGCAGGCTCCTGAATTTGCAACACCCTCCACAGACTTTAGCAGCTCTTACTCGCAAAGTTGCAGTAGTCTGGAATGAGATACCCTAACAGGATATCGACCACCTTATCAGCACGATGCGCAGGCGTGTCAATGAGTATATAAGAAATCTTGGATACTCAACACATTATTGAACCAACTTCTGCAGTCAGTTGACAAATCATTCCAGAAGACGCAGGCAATCTTCATTCAACGAAGAAGGATTGCAAGACCTCTCGAAGCATCCATCTTCGATGAAGATATCCAGTGGAGCGACAATGTCAAATATCTGGGGATCGTTTTTGACAAGTCCCTCACCTGGAAAGCGCACATAGAAGCTGTCATCGCAAAAACCAGAGCAGCCATGGCTCAACTCTATCCATTACTGGGTAGACACAGCCAGATGCCGCTAGCGACCAAGCTACGGCTGATCAAGGCCATCGCCAGACCTCAGCTCGCTTACGCCTCCGCGGTCTGGGGGTACGCTGCCCCCAGCTACCGCAAGCGACTTGCTGCTCTAGAGATGAAGCTACTCCGGATCGCCACCAATGCACCTTCCTACGTAAGGAACTCAACCTTGCGTAGAGACCTGCATTGGGATACCATCCACGAGTACATGAGGAAAAAAGCGGAGAAGACCTTCGAGAAAGCTCAGGACCACCCGAACGAGCAGCTACGATTCCTCATGGACTACGATCTGGACGAGAGGCCTCGCAACCGCAGAACCAGGTACCCCAGACCAAGGTCCCAGTTGGCACCCGCTAACTGGAACCTTGACTAGGAGACTAGGAGAACTTGCGGCTGCTCCCCGCCCCCACCCCACGGCGGGGATGCAGAGGACCAGGAACCACAGGGACCAGGACCCACCGGGACCAGGACCAACCAGGACCAGGACCCGCCACGACCAGGACCCACCAGGACCAGGACCCTTCAGGACCAGGACCAGGAACAACATATTGGTAAGAGGACTTGAAACTCTTGATTTTTCGAAAACAATTTCAAGAGAAACTAGCAGACCCTCTATAGATGATCGCTTAACGACATCGATAGAATGTGCGAGGTAAAGGGAACCAACCCGGCGTTCCCAGAGACTGAAACACATGAGGAGACGTTGTAGCAGACCGCAGGTCACGCACAACACATGGCCTACCGAGACGCTGATGAGTCGGGCCACGCGGAGGTTTAGGGTTTAGTGGGTATTAGGTGATCTCCTCAAGACCCTGGAGCCCCACACACGCCGTAGCTCGTGCTATGGTATGGTGCGTAAATGCATACCCCCCTCGTTAAAAAAAAAAAACACACATTATTGAACCAACTTCTGCAGTCAGTTGACAAATCAAGCTCACGGTGAATATTAAACTTGTGTCTGTCGTCGTAATGTGTACGAAAGAGAAGTGTGCAATATGTATGAAAGAGTGTGCCGATGGTAACGAGGCAAGCCGTAGCTGCGTCCGTGGCCTCGTCACTCGGGTTGTTAGACAACAAATGCTTCTATTACCTCAGCTAACATACCTATTCCGCGCTTCTCTCTCGTACACATTACGACGGCAGTGGTTAATGGACTTCACTGTATATGAAGTTACAATAATTTTATTTGTACTAGTGCTGTTGCATGATTTTTGCTGATACGGCTCTGTGTAATAATGAATAGGTACGATACGTCTCTTATCACACCTGTTCTTTTTATCCGTCTTTCCTCTCTATTAATTGTGTTGCCTTGCCTTGTGTCATTCTTCCAAGTTTGTGTTCCATGTCAGTTGGGGTTTATATTTGGAACGGACGGAAGGAAGTTTAAACAAAAAAAGAAAGAGTGTAGTACATTATTTCTAAGATATCTATCTAATTAATAGACATTATCATTATGAAAATAAACGAGAAAAACCTGTCCGCATTCGCTGTGTCCGCGACGCCGGTCGACAAAGAAGGATATCTAAACAAAAGAGGAGAAATGAATAAGAACTTTCAACGGCGTTACTTCCTACTTAAAGGAAACCTGCTTTTTTATTTCGATAAAAAAGGTGATAAGGAACCAGTCGGAGTTATAATCTTAGAGGGATGTTCAATAGGTAAAATCTAACAATTAATATCGTATTTATATTTCATGGAATAATTTTGCACGCAGAATTGGCAGAAGATGAGGAACAATTCTGTTTCAAAATCGAATTTCACGGCACAAATAACAGGTGCTACATTTTGGGTGCAGAATCTCAGGAGTCCATGGAACAATGGATGAAAGCTTTAGCTTGTGCAGGTTATGATTATATGAAACTAATGGTTGCTGAGCTACAACGACAGTTAGATGACATAGAAGGTACATAATCAAATTAATTTGATAGAGATGTTTTATATAGATTTACCTCAAGGTTATACTTTGTACATAGTAATTTAACAATGCTCCAGTATTGTTAAAGTTGTATCTTTACAGAAACACCTTTACCCTTACCACTAGCTCAAGGGACAAATTCTCCAGTACCTCCTCCTAGGACAAGGCACAATCCCTTTAATAAACCAGATCCACATCAAAGGTCTCATAGCATGAGGTCTATTGGTTCAAATTCAAGTAAGTTTATAGGCAGAAAAACTGGTCATAGTTTCAATTAAAATGTTTTTTTACACATCCCAAGGGGGACAACTTTTTAACCAAAAACTACTTCACCCTCTGCTACCCAGGGTCATCCCCTTGAAAATTTTAAATGACAAGAGGTATCAAGTAATAGCTTGTTTGAAATATGTTTCAAAGTCGTTTATTTTGATGTTTGATTTTTAAAATCAGTCGATTCATTTTCAAGAAAATTATAAATTTTTTTATTTATTTATCTTGATTTGTACAGATAGAAAACAAAAACACACGAAAATATCATTTTTTATTTCAATAAGTGTTCAAAATGTTGCCCATTATTGGCCAAACAGTGATATAGGCTATGTTCAAATTCCTGACAGACATTTTCAAAAACATGTTGTGGGATGTCATAGCAGCTTTTGATGATGCGTTGACGTAGTTTATCCAAACTTTCAGGTGGGGAATAAACACAATATATTTCAAATGGTCCCATAGAAAAAAGTTTAATGTCATCAAATCAGGAGTTCTAGCAGCCCATTCTATAGGCCTTCTTTGCCCTATCCAGTTATCTGGAAACTCGTTGTCTAGGCATTGCTGAACTGGAAGAACAGTGAGTAGGAGCGCCGTCTTGCTGGAAATATATTTCAGCCTCATTTCCATCTTCTTCAATTTGGTTTTCAATAGTTTAAGTGATAAGCGGATTGATGGTACTTTCCAACATATTCAAATAAACGTCTCCATTCAAATTTCCATTAATAAACAATGACCCAATCACCTTGTTTTTAAAAGGCCTGCCCATACATTAATTTTTTGGGGGTACTGGGTATGCCTTTCTAAAGATAGAGATTTTTCTAATTTTCTCGAAAACTGATTTCAAAAAATCAATCGTCAAAATAAAGGACTTCAAAAGACCTTCCAAACAAGCTGTTACTCAATACCCCTTGTCATTTAAAATTTTTAAGGGAATGACCCTGTGGGGCTGAGGGTAAAGTAGTTTTTGATTAAAAAGTTGTATTCCCTAACAAATCTTTTGACGTGTCTAAGTTTTTTCGTTTAATCAGTTGTTGTCGATAAATCCATTTTGGGCAGCTTTTAACTGGATGGATTATTAAAAAATAAATTTGATCCAATATTGTTTTTAGGTAAAGGAGAGGATAGCAATAGGCTTTCTGATCAAATGACATCTCCAACATCTTCAAAAATTAGTATCACTTTCAGAGAGCTACATAATTCTTATGGCAGGCCAATACTAAAGGATTTCAATGTATGGAAACATGAAACAAGAGAGAAAATGGACAATGTCGAAAACCTTATTAGCTTTTAGGATTATACCAAAGAATTGGTTTGCTTTTTTCAGTAGAGTAGTTTATTTATTTTATTGAATATGTATTTATATATTTATTTGTGATAATAAAATTAAATTTTTTTTACAAATATCACTGAATTGACCCTGCAACAGCAGTTTTTTGGAAACTTGTTTTGAAATTTTCCTTACACAGCTTTGCAAACTGCAATTCATTTTTCCCAAAAATAAGAAACAAACTATCCTTCACTGTTTATTCAAACTAAAGTAAAACTAACAACCAAGCTGAAAAAATTATTCACCACGAATTGTTTCAAGATAATCTGCAGCTTCTCTTGAAATTCTATGATATTTAGCTAAAACAGGTCTGTAGTAATATGCCTGGTAATCCTGCCTTTCACCCATTTTTTCTTTAATTCTCTTTTCTAATCTCCTGAAAAAAAAAATGGAAAATATAAATCAAATAGCACTTAATTTATAAAATAATTCATACCTCAACTTTATTCTTTCTTGTTCTTCATAAATGAAGTGCAAATATTTTTCATAGTCTTGCTGTGGGTCGTTGAGCATATATCTAGCTATAAATCTTGTGATGGGGTGCTGAAATTAAAAAAGATCTTATAGAATTGATAATTTGAAATTCTTCTTCAAAATCATGCAGCATGTTTATGCATATATATATGAACAGAGTAATAATGTGAAGTTTTGATAATAGAAATTGTTACCCTATAATACTCCCAATATTTTGGAGTATAGTCCTCTGGTATTTCAGATAAAGTTGCAGGTCCAATAAAAACATTTGCATAAGTGATGACAGCTGTAATGGGGATGAAACCAAGCATAAAATAGAAGTGTAGCAAATCCTTGAATCTGTTCCATTGCCATCGGGATGGTACCATAGGGAAGGTTCGGTGTTCCGACATGGCTCTTGTAGCTAAAACAAAGGATTTTTGCGCAAATATATTCTCGTATAGGGTAGATTTGATAGCTTAGGATGACCATTTGGTACAATAATTATAACCTTAACAGATTACATAATCAAGAAGCATTTACCTGCATTTTTCAGAAGCAGTGAGGACCCTCTTTGTAAGAGGGGTTTTAAGGTGCTTAGAACTACCATATTCCTACTGCAATGGACTTTTTTTGAATAACCAGACACCAGAACTATATTTTTGTGTTTTTATTTGATATAAATGTATGGATCTAAGAGACTTGACATTTCACCTCGCCAAATCTGCCAAAATCTCAGAACAGTAAAATATAAAAATATTGCTTAGAGCAAGAAGTAGTGCATACGCACTTCGAATAGAAACAAGTATTTCTATTATCCATCTTCGTTTCTACGAATCGGTGAATCCCATGTATTTATAAATAATGTAAAGGGATAGGGATGTCAAACAAGTAACATCTGCCCTTTTTAGGAAAGCTCTTTCCTATTTTTCCGCTGGTGAGTTCTCAACACCCTATTTGACGAGTATCCATCACGATTTGACGTCTACACAGCTGATCAGCAAGTGACAGTTTTGAGTTAGTTTGCGACGCTGGCAACAATGAATCGGGTGTAAATCTAGTAAAACGTGTTTGTAGCGTTTTGTTTTTTATATGCAAATAACTTTTCTAAATAAAAGAGCTGTTACCAAGTACAAAATGAATCTGTAACCTACAAAAAACAAAATACGGCTCTAACAACGGATCCGTCAGAATTATGTGTCCTGTGCCGATATGGGGAATTTTGAGATATAACTTAATAATCAGCTGCCGTGATTGATACTCGTGAATAAGGGTATACATGTCGGTACAAAAAATGAGGTTATGAATTTATCAAAAATTTGACAAGATAAAAGTAGTGTTTACTTGTAATGAAATTTAAAAAGTGTATTATTTAATTAAAAACATGTTTAATCAGTTTGTAAACTTATTCAAAAGTAACCGCACAAGTACGTGCGTCAAAATGAGTAGTTCTGTAAACAATATAGCCTCAGCAAAGTTATTTCACACTTCAGAAGGTAAAAGACATGGTGAATACGAGTGGCAAGATCCAAAATCAGAAGACGAAGTGTAAGATATTCATTGAATCAGTATTACATATTTATGAACATTCATTGTAGGAAACATTGCTTTTAGTGTGAATATAACTTACATCCTAAAGGATGGCAAACGGGTTCCTGTAAAAGGCAAAGTTGGAGACAATTTAATGTACCTAGCTCATCGCTATGAGATTCCCATGGAAGGGGCTTGTGAAGCATCCCTGGCGTGTACCACCTGTCATGTATATATTCAGAGCAATCATCTAGATAAGCTGCCTACTCCAACTGAAGCTGAAGATGATCTCCTAGATATGGCACCATTTTTGAAAGAAAATTCAAGACTAGGCTGCCAAGTTGTGTTAAAAAAGGAATACAATGGACTGGAGGTTCAACTGCCTCAAGCTACCAGGAACTTTTATGTTGATGGTCATACACCAAAACCACATTAGTTGCCTTGTTTTAGAGAATATTTGTGTAGATATGTGATTCAATATTGAGTGACGTTTATATATAAAATTATTTTATAAATATATGTTATCAGTTAAATTCGAAGTTTTTTCCATGTTAATTTTCTTTCAGTTTGCTGAAGATTCGATACTGTTTCTTTGTAACAAAAAAAGTAGGATTCACCCATCACTACTATCGTCAGTGTATGAAAGACATGTCATCAGTCATTTTTTATTTTCAATTTGGCGGGATGAGTTGAAGTTGTATGTAAATAAAAGAAATTTTAAACAGAATATACATAAAAATCAAATAACTAAAAACAAATTAGGACTTGAGACAAAATGCCGACTGTTACGATAGACGGAGTGCCCATAGAATTTCCTTTCGAGCCCTATGATCTTCAAAAAGATTACATGGAAAAGGTGCTCCAGTGCATCAAATACGAGACGAACGGTGTGCTAGAATCCCCCACGGGAACAGGCAAAACTCTTTCATTATTATGCTCAACTTTGGCATGGGTAGAATTCAAGAAAGCACAGAGGAAAGCTCAAAAGACGGACATGTTTGAGATGTATGCTAGTTCTGCAGCTCCTCCAGAAATTACTCCTATGACTGTAAGGTCTGAGCAAGTGCCGGTAGTTATATATGCATCTAGAACGCATACCCAGTTGTCTCAAGCTATAAATGAGCTTAAAAGAACTGCTTACAGTCATATGAGGGCATGTGTTATTGGTTCTAGGGAGTTTTTATGTATCCATCCAGACCTGGCATCTGAACCAAATTCGCTTAAGGTATTTAGTATCTAATATATTATGCTGGGCTTTTTATTTACTATTTTAAGGCTTTGGAGAATGTAACTAGCTTATAAATTGTACTGTTAAACAATCCATCCTAATATCAACCTTTTGTGCCAACCTGAACAGCATTTTAAAAATGTCTTGTAAAAGGGGTTTTGCTTTAACCTACATGATAAGAAACCTGTGCAATTTTACTGTCAAACCTTATGGTGCACAAGCAAGCAACACGTGATGGAAGATGCATGAGCAGTTCATTATGGTGTGGTAAGCTACTATATACACTTCGCAGTAATAGAGATTCAGAAATACAAAGCCAATGGGACTAGAGGTTTGCTTTAAGGGATGACTCAGTTTAAGGACACTTTCTTATATTGTTTTCCAGTCTATAATTGAAAATGATCAGTGTGTAGTTTAGAATTTTTTTTTCAGACCCAAATGTGTCAAGTGAAAGTGAAAAGCAGGTCATGTCAGTTTTACAGCAGAGTTGAGAGAATGAAAAGTGCAGGACCTGTTGTTGATAAGAATGTAATGGATATTGAAGATATAGTGAAACTAGGAAATTCACTCAAATTTTGTCCTTATTTTATGACACATGAACTTGATAAACTTGCTGATATTGTTTTTATGCCTTATAATTATTTGTTGGATCATAATATCAGAAGAAATTTAGGTAAAACCATAAAAAAATTGGGTTTACTTTATAATATAAACAGTGAAATCTCCTTTGGATGGACACCAACAGGACCGACTGAAAGTGTCTTGTATTTCAACTGGATTTTCAATTTCTTGGCCTGATTCTGGGTCTTCAACATACAAGTTTTCATCTAGGTTCAAAAAATAATAAGGTTTTTCATTATCAGTCAGTTTCAATAAATTCTTATTTTTGAGGATATCTTAAAGTACATTAAGTGGAAAGTCATCTTCTGAATCAGGTGTATCAGCCTCATTCAACTGGTCTTCACTTTGTATATTTTTATGCTTAAACCCTGCTTTGTGGAAGCAATTTTGCACTGTTACCTGGTCCCAAGTGGTTTTTGCTAAATAAACTGCATTCAACAACATAATTTTCTTTATTAACTCAAAAGCTGTACCAGCAGTTCCAATGTTTACTAGCAGCTGTTTTAGTATTAGACTTTGGTAATAAGTTTTAAAACTCTTCATAATTCCTTGATCAAGTGGTTGACAAGCTGATGTACAATTAGGGGACGAAAATAAGATATTTATATTATTTAAACGAATGTCTTTTGGATGAGATCCCACATTGTCTAAAAATAACAAAATGTTTCTTTTTTCTTTAGTAATTCTCAAATCTTGCAACCACTCTGTCATAATTTGGAGCCATTTCTACAGTGAATGTGTCGCCCACTGTGTACATAACGATACTCTCAACAGAAAAAAAATAAGACAAGGCGCTTCTTTTTATTTTGCTTTTTTGTCCAGTTAGGAGAACATTTTCTCGTGTCCGCGTACGTTCAAGAGAATGTCCGTCCTAGAGAGAGTTAATACAATGCAAATTATATGAGAGTCTGTCGGGACCATGTGGTGTCCCTGTAAGAGGGGTGTCCGCAAAGGGGAATTTCACTGTATTTCATATATATTTTATACATTTATTTATTTTGCCTTTGGATAGCATGAATCTATGTATACCTAACATTGTGAAAAGAAAAGCTAAACAAGAAAAAACTGCATTTCTGATTTAAGATACAAGTATCATTTGGTTATCTATAATCAAAGAGCTATCAAAATTATAACATACAATTGTGCAATACAATACTCTTTAGAATATAAGTAAAGTATGGTTTTATCTAAATGAACCATACAACGGCAAACATTTTTCAATGTTATTTTGTATTTGTAGGAGTTAAGCTCGAATCCAGTATAATAATATTAGATGAAGCTCATAATATTGAAAAAGTTTGTGAAGAATCTGCTTCTCTACAACTGAAATCATCAGATATAACATTATGCATAGAAGAAGTTACTGCTGCTATGAAACTTCTTTCCGAGCAAGATAAGATTGATGTTGGTGTTGACATACCTGAAGATATTCGACCAGAAGACCTGTGTGATCTAAAAGAACTATTTCTGGAGTTAGAAAAACAAATTGATGATGTTAAAATAGATATTTATCATGGTGTTACCCATGAAGCTACATTTTTGTTAGATCTACTAGCTAGAGCAGGTGTAAGTATCAATAATTGAAAAGTCTGTGAAATTGAAACATGCCTATATCAGTGGCCAGTTTTCATCAAGCACTCTTAAGGTTGCATTGGGCCCATAACCTTTGAAAACATACCAATGATGTTTTTAACAGTGCACATGATCATACTTTATCTCTTGTTCTTTTTTCCCATAGATTAGAGCAGAAAATTGTGGTAATATAAGAAATCTACTGTTGAAGCTAACAGAATTTTTAGCAACTATAGCAGATGGGCCTTTTGCTCGAAAAGGAGTGGCTTTACAAAATTTTGATGGCATGCTAGAGCTGATATTCATGGGAAAAAGTAATGACTTCTGGGATAAAGTCAAAAGATGTTACAAGGTAAAAATTAATTGATTTGTACTAATATTTTTCAAAGCCATTTTAATGAATTTTAAATATAGTGAGTTTTTTTAATAGAAGAAATGTATGTAGGTACATGTGCTAGCAGAGCCCACTAAAAAGAAAGGAATGCAAGACAACTGGTTGTCAAAAGCAACACACAGTAAAGCTGGTGGGAAAATAATTAACTATTGGTGCTTCAGTCCAGGATTTGGGTAATATTGGTTTAAGATCAGGTTTCAATTGCCTGGTAACATTGGTTAAATGATTAATATTTGTATAAGTATACTTGTAAACGATAGGCCAACTCATAAGTCGTGTACTTAATAAATTATAAGCTTAAAAAAAATCGGAAAATCTACACCCTGTAAATGATTTTTCAGTTCCTGTTACTGTAAATTTCAATTTTTTCTTAGAAAGAGTGACGGACAGTCTGCGTAGTGACAGCACGGGCATCACGTATCTTGAAAAGTGACATTATGCCGATTTGTTTTGACATTATGCTAGTTTTTTTGACATTATGTAGGTTTTTCTACAAGATATTAACTTGGGACTTAGTTGTACGTGTTGCCTAAACGTCATGGCTCTGATGTGATGTAAAATCTGCTTCTGAGATGGCATTACTGGAGGTCTAAGCTGTAAGTGGTATGTGTTGATGATAATAATTACATTGGGTTCTTGTCTCAAATACACTTAATTGAGATTCAAATCTAGAAATTAGTTGAGCAGTCACTTTTTCTTACCCATTCTGGAAATTACCTAGACAAATTTGCTGGATTTCAAAGATGAGAGAGATAAGAAATAATTACATTCGCTGTACACTGTCGAATTACAAGCCATATACATGCTACCAGTAATTACACACAACCCGGGCGCGGTGATAATTTCTCGTAATTCTTCTCAGTCTTTCGTAATTTATAACTTTGAACATAACCTCATGATTTTCTCACACAGTAAATATCACTGATTTTATACACATGCATACCAATACACATAATCATCCAGATACGATCTTGCTATTCAACCAACTTTCTTTTCCGAGATAAAAACTACAGACTAGGACCACTCGGCCTCATTAAACACATGCAACCAATAATGCATGTAATTTAGTTCAGTGATTCCTCCATAGATGGACGTTCACAACGATCCTAATGACCAAACATGGAACGTCTGTTTGCGCCCTGAAAACTACCTAGTTTTCAAGATGACATCTTATAGGTTTTTTTGACGTTTTATAGGTTTTTTACATGATACCCGTGCAGGGTTACTTTAGTTATAGCGGGAGATTTTGATATTGATTTCACTAAGAATTGTACCAATAAAATTAAGCTGTGCTCGTTAATTAACTCGTACAATAGTCATCACACAGTTACTTCGTACACAAGAGTTACTTATAATTCCAGCTCTGGTATAGATAATATTCTAACAAACTTTAAACATTCATAAACAAATATCTAACCATATTGCATAAAAGTTGATTACATAATCTGCAAGTGAGTAAAGAAATGTTTTCACTTATAAAAGAATGTTCAATGGGAAAACTTTAGCTCTATATTTCTCTCAATATTCGATCAGAAGTTTTCGATAAAAAAAGTAAGGAACAAGAAGGGTAAAAAACATGATAATGAGGTAGACGTAATACAGCGTAAGAAAGAATTAGATATTTTATATACAGTTAGCTTGGTAGATTCTACGTATAAAGAATAGTATAAGTTAAAAAGAAAAGAATACAACGAACCTCTAACAACTCGGTCATATACTGCCACACATTTTGAACTAAATATATGGCTGTTTCATTGCCCTTTAAGATTATATGGTGTTCCAAGTTCTAAAAAGTAGATATAATTATTATAGTCAAAACCTGTTTATCTTATTTTATTCCTACCGGACTTGAAATGTAGTCATGGTCATTAGCAGCCATTGTGCATATAGCGTTTCGTTCCTATGCAAAGAAACTTTTTTAAATAAACGAGTTGTTAGCAAGTTCAAAATGAATCTGTAGCGTACAAAGAACCACAACAAAATACGGGTCTGACTACCTGGAGTTCACCGATCCCTATGAACTAATTATGTGCCCTGTGTCGATATGGGTATTTTAAAATATTTTTAGATAACTAGCTGTCATTGTTCCGTGATGGATACTCGTGAAATAGGGTGTAGTAAATGAATTAACTGGGTCTGGCAATTTTAGGCAACAGATAGAATCAGAGCTTGATTTGGACCTCACAGCAGATAAATTCAACAAATTCTTGTTGGAATCGATTGGGAGCTTAACTCGCAGCAACAGTCCTGTTTATAAGTGCCCAAAACGAGTTTTATTTTCAATGTTTGTCAGGCCTCTAACCAAAGTTGAAGTAGTTGAAATTCTAATATGTTAGAAAAATAAGAAGAGTAGTGGTGAAGATGAAATATCGGCATAATCATAAAAAATGCATTGATGACATTGTAGATCCATCGGTATTTATTATCAATAATTAATTGAAATATGGTATCCATCCTGATCAGTTAAAAAAAGCACTTGTCATTCCAGTTTACAAGAATAAAGACGATTTTTCATATTTTGATAGTTTCTGACTTGTTATCAGTTTTTTTTTAAATATTTGAGAAGGTAATGAATAGCAGAATATTGAATTTTTTAACTCTAAATGACCTGATAAAGGAAACTCAACTTGGTTATATTAACGGAAAATCAACTCTTTCAGCTGCTTATAAGTTTATTCATAAATATTATAGTAGACTTGGACAACGATAAGAGTGTACTGGGTATCTTTCTGGACCTTACTAAAGTGTATCACTGCCTAGATCACAATATATTATTGGAACAATTAGAAAGATATGGCATTAGAGGACCAGCACTTTCTTTGATAGAATCATACTTCAGCAATCATAAGCAATAAGTAAAACTTTTGGACGTAATGGAATAGCTATTTCGAATGAGCTTAATGTTAAAACAGGGGTGCCTCAGGGCAGTATATTAGGTCCCACATTGTGATTTTGTTTAAACGACCGACACCTGTCAAACCTGATGTATGCAAAATCACGAAATATGCAGACCACACAAATTTGCTCATAACTGCTAAAGATCTTGAAAATACAGGTGAAGAGGGGGGGGGATATAATATGGACAATGTACAAACCTGCTTTTTCAACAGCAGGCTAATTCTTAATAAAACTAAGACTTTTTGAACTACTCACTGGAGAGCAAATTTTCATAATTCAATTTGTCTTAATAGTACAACAATAACAATGTCAGGCAATACTTGATTTCTTTGTCTTGAATTAGATAGTTACCTCAGGTGGGACAACCATATAAATTATTTAAGAAATAGGCTCAACAAGTTATGTTATTCTATAAGAATTATTGAAGAAATATTTGGATAGAAAAGCTTTCAAAGTTGTATATCACTCAAATTTTGAACCTAGATTAACGTATGGAATTATGTTATTCGGACGCTTCAGTGACTTTGATGGAAGTTTTGTAATACAAAAGAGAATATTGAGAAATATTTTAGGTTTGAACTTGAATGAATCATGTAGAGGCAAATTCAAGCAATTCGGTATGTTAACTGTTTTTGGAGTGTTGATTCAAGAGTGCCTCATATATCTATTTAAAAATAAGCGAATGTTCACAGTTAATGCGTCAACAAGTAACCATACTAGAGTTTTTAACTATATTTATCCTAAGCATTGATTAGCATTGTTTGAAAAAGGACCTCTTTATAATTGTCTAACACTTTTTAACCATTTATTAGCAGTTGTGAAAAACATTGTAAAACTATACAATCTTTGAATTTTTCAAGATAGATTTGAATAATATGCTTTAAAGCAAGACTATCCTTAATTTGTTTGGTTGACACTGTTTGTAGCACAAGTGCTTTACAGCTGTTGTATAGCGTTTGTATTCGCATGTAAAGATTATTGTTATTGTTATCATACGGGCGAATCTTCCGTTATTAACAAATTTGCAAGATTCGGTGGGCTGCACTTTTGGGCACTCCCGTGCTTGCTTCTATTTCACGTACTGAAGTACTCGGGTCTTCTTCGACTGCATGTTGTTGTAAGGAAAGGAAATTCTTCTTCACCATATGCTTGATTTAGGAATCGTCCATCTGAGAGTAAAACGGTGCACATTCACCAAAACTCGGTGAGCGGGATGACGAGCAGCATTTGGGTACTTCTCACGATAAAGCCCAGCTGCAGCACTAGCTTGCATCTATATTCCTCATAAATGAAGTGTACGTTGGCGTATTCCTGTACGATGTACACATACATGGTGGCACTACACAATCATGAAATAATAGAAGTGGTGTTGCTGTCTTGCTGTCACCATGTAGAATGACTCTATCCGTTACTCCGTCTAAGTAAAAAATGAAATTTGTAGCAATGGGAACCAAAAGATTATCACAGGGTGCAGATTATTCCGATTTTTTTAAAGCCTATAATTCGAAAAGTACACGACTTGAATTTTTTATATTTTTTTAACTATTATCACTTGGCCTATCCCCCGTTTCAGGCTTGACGTCGACCTCTTTGACACCCTGTATAGTCCATTGTAGTTGTTTGGCTTTCCATATAATTGAATAGCTTTACCTACATGATTTCGATTCGTTTTTTAGCATGAATATGTTTTTGGGTGAGAGACCACGTTGTCTCATACTGACAAGCGGTACTCTAGCACCTTTAGGGCCTTATACGTGCGAGTTGGAGCTACGGGCAGACGTGAAGCTAGAAAATCCGCATATCGTGAAAGGGGATCAAGTTTGTGTTAGAATCGTAACCAAGGGACCAGACTCGGAAACGTTAAACTGCAACTACAATAACAGGTATCTACTAGGCCCACAACATACAATTTTTTGTGGAAAATTTTATTCATATATATCATATAAAGGAATCTGTGAGGTACCAGTACTAATATTTGAGTAATATTTATGTTTTCAGAGACAATCCAAAGTTCATAAACTCAGTAGGAATGACAATATCAAATTTGATAAGAATGATACCTGGTGGAGTGTTGGTCTTTTTCCCATCTTATCCCATTTTGCATGCGTGTAAAAAAATATGGGAAGAGTCTGGTTTATGGGCAAATATCAACAAACAAAAGGTGAATTTCGAAAAAATTTTGTCAGTAGTAATAAACTTGTTTGATTCCAGGCGGTGTTTGTGGAACCTCGTGAGAAAGAACCTTTCAACTCTGCCATGCAAAGTTACTATTCGAACATTAAGGAATATGGCGGAGCTATCTTCATGGGAGTATGTAGGGGCAAAGTTTCAGAAGGTCTAGATTTCGTAGATAACAACGGTAGAGCGGTTATCATTGTAGGGCTTCCATATCCTCCTTTCAAAGACCCCAAGATTGCACTTAAAAGAAAGTACATTGACTTGTGCAATTCTAGGGATAAAGAGGTAATGCCATTATCCAAGTCATCATAAAGTATGAGGTGATTTAAGGCGAGGTTCGCAGGGTATTGAGGTTGGACAATTTCAAACTGTCAATTTTCTTTGATACTATACTAACTCGTGTAATAATAATGAGGCCCTAAAAGCTAATGAGCTAAGAGACAATTTACATGTTCCATGAATAACTCTTGTTTTCATAAAATCATCCGCGGAAAGTGCGATTTATAACTTTATAAAAACAAGTTATTCGTAAAACACATTCCATTTGAAGATACCCAACTAAAGTGGACATTGGAGAGGCAAAAAATGGATATGAAAGATACTACAGCCATCTAAGTGACAGAAGCAGAAGCAAAACTCTTTTCGAAATAGATTTCTAAAGTCATTTGCGCAATACATATCAAAGTAAGAGTAATCGATTAAACAAGAACACAAATAAAAAGCATAACCAAAATAGACATACAAGGTGGCCAACGAAAAGGTGCACCCCCCCATCTGTGACTCTGCTGTTATATTTTGGGAAAAACTCTCGGACACGTCAATTTTTATTTCTAGGGGGACGTCTGTTCATCTATAGCCGTATAATACAGGGTGATCCAAAAATAAGATTTTGCGTTACACTTTAAAATTTTAAATGGAAAACCCAATTTTTTTAATTTTTAGATTTTCCATGAAGTTCCATCTATTTTATTAAATGTTAATACGCACAGTATTACTCGCACTGTTAGCACGAATATAACAGTACCTCATATGTCAAAATCCATCAAGTCGTTTGGACTGTAGCTCGTGAAATAGAATTTCTTGTTTACATGTATAGATACCCACCTGCGTCAAACATACAGATTTTTTAAGATGGGGCACTTATCGTAGCAAGCTGAACATTTCACGGTTAATTCAACATGGATTGAAATAGTTTTTGTAATCAGCTCTGTTAAAAAGTGACATAACAGCTTAGAAAAAAATCACAGCCCTAAACCTAACGGTTTAGTTGTAATTGCGATTGAAAGTTCATTATCCCGTTTTTTTTCGAAATTTCACAAAATTGCAAATATCTGCTGATCTCTAAATTTTCGGACCATACATATAGGGTTCATGCGATAGATTTTGAGGCCCTCTATCACCTGATTTCCGTTGATTCACTACTAACTTTACACACTGTATATCTAGCAGTCTTACTTGGTAAGGGGTGTAGCTGTATGAGCTTCGACAGGTAATCCTAGTAAACTACTATGAATTTAAAATTGCTTAGGTGACAGTCTGTCAAATCTACCTGGCAACGGCTATTCAGCTCATTAGATAAAATGGGTTTCACGACAAGACCTTTTTTGATTGAATTTTCTTTCATTTGACATGACTTACAAAAAGAAAGATAAATAAGAACAGAATCCATCCACGTGATCATCGAACGCTGTAACATTCGGCAGGGACGTATTAAGAGTCACGCAGTACATATTTTAGATAGTAGATGCTGCTTTGCGTAACTTTGTAGTAAATTAGCACAATTCGATGTGTATACGATTGGTGATGGATATAGGATCATGTGGGGGTGGGGTAAGAAATATATAATGATGTAAATATACATAAGGGTTTCCAAATTTTCGCTTCGATTTCCAGCTTCGGATGCCGCCTGATGTTTGGTGAAATACAGTCGAATATAATCTCAAAATGGCGTTTAAATTAGCCTAAATTAAAAATAATCGTATATCTCTTAAAATTGCTTTTAGAATGTTGATTAGTATATTTTTTGATTTCTAGGTAAATATGTAACCAAATTAAAACGTTCAAAACGTAAAAAAATGTGCATGGTTGAACATTGTCAGAAAGTAGATTCTTGAATAGGTTTTGCCAAAATGGGTTCAAAAATGTCAATAATTAATTAAAAAATACAGTAGCTTTATAATTATTTATAACTTACCGAATTTGATGAACGACATCTTTTATTGGAAAGATGAGCTTGATGAGCTTTCATCATCGCTACTGCCTGAAGCACCAACGTCAATAATGAATGGCTCGACTTGTTCCTCTAAAATATTGTCCAGTTCCCACATTCTCTTTTCAACTTTGTCTTTCACGTGCTTAATACAGTTTTCCCATTTTTGCGCTGTTATTAATTCTAGTGCTTCTTTGAAAAGTCCTTTGAGGTCACAAAATTTAAAAGTTGTACTGTGCTTAGCTATATAATTTTTAACCTCTGCCCATATGAGCTCAATGGGATTGAGCTCGCAATGGTATGGAGGTAAACGGAGCACAGTTTAATTTTGACTCTGCTGCCATTTCGTCAATGGCGTATTTTTGATATTCCGCCTTGTGATCCTTGACAATTCTTAATAATTGTACTTTCAGCATTGCCTCTTCAAAGTTGATATTTTTTGAGCGGAGCCAATTTTGAACATCAACTTTCCTTGAAGCCGTTGTTGGGACCTTCTCCATTCTTCGAGAATGATAAGGCGCATTATCCAACACAATTACTGGAAATCGAAGTACTAACTGGTGTAGATTTATTTCAATAAGCGAACCTTTTTCAAATGTTTTCATCACATTCAGCGAAAAAACATTGAGACATGAGTATCAGATTGCTATAATTGGGATTATTTAGTCATATTGAAAGAAAGAATATTGAACGTCGTATGATTACTCAGCGCTTCACAATTTAATTTAAAGTTATAAACCTTTAAAAAATGAATGATTAGGAACCTGAAATACGCGCAAATACTAATATTAACAAATTATAACTTTATAAAGCTTAAAGTATGAATTAAAATGATTAGAAATATTAGGAACGGTACACAATATAAAACTTAGTAACTTTTTTTAAGTTTATAATATTCGACATATTTTAAGATTATATTAAAAAATTATTGAAATATCGAAAACACATAAAAACATGGCTTAAAAAAGTTCTAACAAATGAAAATGACAATAAAACATCCACGCATTTTATCGAAAGTTATAAAAGTTTTGTTACTTGTAATATGTTTTATCTGCCCCCTGGAATTAATGTTTAGAACCTTGTTCCCAAGGTTTGAAAAACATTCGATTGTTGTCTATTACTCGTATTTCCCAGCTGGATTTTTTAATCCGGTGGACAGTCCATCTAGAAAGGCCCTCCTGGATGAAGTTACAGAATCATCAACCCATACTTTACTTGTAGTGTGTCCTGCGTTTACCCACGTTTCATCAAGGTAATAAATCTTCCTGTTTTGATTTCTATATTTCCCAATTTTTGTTAAATAATCGCTCCTCCATAGCACAATTTCTTCTCTATCCAGTAGTAAACTATTACGACCCCGTTTTTTCCATTTGAAATTTAAATGCTTCAGTAACGCATGGAAAGTTGATCGTTTGAAATTTGGCAACGTTGTATCTCCATTTACCTCCTGCAGTACTTTATCTATAGTAGGTATTTCATTCCTAAAGAAGAATTCATGCACTTTCCTCCTAATCGCATGCTTATCAGCTTCATCCAATGATTTAACAATACTTTTGCGATGTTTACTGGTCATTGGCTCAGAAAAGGTGTGATTTTTTTTGTATTGTCTTAACACATTAAACACTGATGCGCGACACACCTCAACTTTGTGAGAAACCTTCACAACAATTTCTTTGATGGTTGATGCCTCGTTCTCCTCGCGCTCGATCTTATATATATTCAAAATGACCTCTTTCATTTCTGCACTCAGGTGTCTTTTTTTAGAGCGTTTCCTAGGTGGACTACAGGAGTTTACAACTTCATCGGCAGTATCTGTACTACTGGGCATTTTGCGCAAGCAGTTGATAACAATAACAATCAATAACAAGGTATAACAATAACAACGACAAACTCAACAACTTAATAAGATAACAAACGAAAACGTCCAAAGAAATATCAAATTGCAATGATGCACACGACATACGTAACACGTCTGAACCTGAATGTGACTCTGCCTTGATACGACTGCTCTGCCGCTCGGCATAGGCATTTAATTGCGAATTGACCAACGAGGGCTCCTGTTTTACGTCGAGACGGCGGCGTTAGCGTGAAAATCACCCTAACCTTTTGTTTACATCCGGTCTATCTCTTGTCTGAATATACTGTAAGTAGAGCGTCCGTCGCACACAGCCTAAGAACGTGAGTTGGCGAGCCGCTACCGCTCTACCTGTCAGAACCTGTTTGTGTGCTTACATCAAGTATTAACCACTAAGGATTTGCTAGACCTAGGTGTAGCCTACACTAACCAACTGGCACTGGCTTATACCTAGTTCTAACCGGCTAAACCTAGTTGTCACCGCATTTCGGGTTTTAGCCGTAACATATACATACACTACACAGGTAGATACGTTATTAACATGTAAGGGTGTCCCTTAGCTGCTTAGCTTTTGGAGTCTTACGCGGCAGATCATACGATTTGGGTTAGTATCGAAATAAAACTGTCAGTATGAAGTTCAAATTTATAATACCCCCAGGACCGAGTGCTGGCCTTAACCTTCTAAAATAAACGTTTAAGCTTAAGGTATGATTGTGGGTTGTTTTTTATTTTTAGTATCCGAGAGGAGAAGAATGGTATAGCTTAGAGGCTTCAAGGGCTGTGAATCAAGCTATTGGCAGAGTGATCAGACATTCCAAAGATTATGGGGCCATTCTACTGTTAGATGCTAGATTTGACAACCCTCGTTTGAAAAGTCAAATGTCAAAATGGTTGCAAGAACATGTGAAAGTTACCAAAAATTTTGGAGAATTGATCAGGGACGTTAGGGGTTTCTTCAAAGACGCTGATCAGAAGGTATATGTAATGTATGATATTGATGAATTCGATCTTAGTATACCGGGTGATTCTCCAAGGTGGCACACCCCTTTAACTCTTTTATTATTGAAGATAGGAAAACGAAATTTGGGCGTTGCTTATTATAGACGTAGTAGTAGTAGTAGAAAGATTTATTTAGCACATTTGGCTACATAAACAGAACAATTGTAAACAACTTAGAACTAGTAAATTTAAGCCATATGGTGTATGATGTAAATGCTGGGCAACCTATAATTGTAGATTTAACAAGTGATTTCTCAATTTTACTTTAAATTTTGTCAAAGTTTTCTGGTCTTTTATCTCCGAGTATAATTTATTATATTCAATCAACCCTTGATGGAATACAGATTTGTAGCATATGTTATACTTTTTGGTCATTAAATGGAAGACATCTTTATTTCTGGTATTATGTAAATGATGGTCGACATTTGATGATGTTAAATTAGTTAGACTTGATGGAAATATAATATTTTTTACTTTATAAATGAATATCATTACAAGATATTTGATAAAATTTTTTACATTGAGCCATTTTAATTTGCTAAGCATTTGCCTAATTGGAGTATATTTATCTTTATTTAGTATTATTCTCATGAACTTATTTTGTAAAATTTGCAGTCTTTCAAAAATGGAATTATTTGCTAAATATAGAATAGTCGAACAGTACAAGAAATTTGGAAGAATGATGGTATTATAGATAATTTTTCTGCTATATGAACTCAGACATCCAGAAACTCTCGATAAATATCCCACTTTACTACTAATCTTATTTATAACTTTTTCATAATGAATATCAAAAATTAATCGAGAGTCAACAAAAACTCCTAGGTACGAGTATTTAAAATTTTCTACGAATTCAATATCTTCACCATCAATATTCAGTTGAACATTTGTACATTGTTTTTTTCCGATTAACAAGGCTTTCGTTTTACTTGCATTTAATTTTAGTCTGTTAGATGCTAACCATTTTGAGACAAGCTTCAAGTCGTCATTTATATAAGAGATACCAGACTGAATATTTTTAGTACTTATATAAATCATAGTGTCATCGGCGAAAATTTGAATTTTGCATTTTTTGACTATGGCAGGTAAATCATTTATGTATAAAATAAAAAGAAGTGGTCCCAGGATACTGCCCTGTGGAACACCCAACGTATTTTCAATTTTTGATGAAATAGTGTCATTAACTTTTGTAACTTGCATCCTTTTAGACAAATAATTTCTAAACCAATCTAAAACACTTCCTGTTATACCATATGCCTTCAATTTACCTAACAAAATATCTCTATCAATCGTTTCAAATGCCCTCTTCAAATCCAAAAATACTGCTATGACAACTTCTTCTGAGTCTATGGCTCTTCTCCAATTCTCAGTTACCAACTGGAAAGCTGTTTCTGTGGAATATTTTTTTCGAAAGCCTGCTTGCGCCTCCACTAAAATTTTGTTTTCTTCTATAAACAGCATTAATTGGTCATGCACTATGGACTCTAATAATTTTTCAATGTCTGGTAACACATTTACTGGTCTCATATCGCTGCATCCTTTAGAATTTTTTATTTTGGGAACTGGTGTTATTGTAGAGCATTTCAAATTTTCAGGGAAAGAACTGCTTCTCAGGGAACAATTGATCCAAATTAATACAGGATATCCCAAAATTTCGAAACAGTTTTTCAGCACGTTTTTAGTAGTCATTTCGGCACAGTTGTTATTTGATTTTTGATGAATTAACATTTTTGACATATTCAATCGGTTTGACCGGAAACGACTCCAAATTTCGAATTTCAAATGGGACACCCAATATAAATAGATGAAGTTCAACAGTTTTTAAGATGGAGAAAACCACTGGTATTATGTCTTACCGAAACACATGCTACCGAAGACATCACTAATGGTAAATTACAAATTGCTAATTATAAAGCCTACAGATGCAACTCCAACTCCAGACATACTGAAGGTGTAGTGATTTATGTTTACCACAAAATACAGATAAAATTATTCGATTGTGCCACTTTAGACTATGCATATTGGTATGCACATATACAGTTCAAATTATTTGAGAAACGTTATGATCTTTGTACTTTTTACCGTTCACCAAACAGTGATACGGATACCTTTTTAATATTTTTTGAAGAGAAATGTGGAATTTTATAAACAATATAATACTTTTAGGTGATTTTAATTTAAATTATTATAGCACAAGCATGAAAACCAGAAAATTGCAAGAAACCATAAATAACTATGGGTTCAAGCAAAAAATTGAAGAGAGTACCTTCATTATCAGAGACTTTGTTAGATGTTGTCATTGTAAATTTCGAATAATAAAAATAGTAATAATAACGTCTATTGAGCTACAACTCAAAAGGAAAGGGTATTGTATGGACATTTTTCAACCCTTCCGAAGGCATTAATATAAATAGATAAATTGCGAAAGAATAGATTGATAATAGACATCAGACAGATTTAGTCAAATAACATGGTTAACATATTACAATCAGTATATAAGAGTACATTCTACATTTAAACTGTATAAATGGACAAGTATGTGTAGGGATTAAAGCTGTACATACTCCTAAAGTTAGTGATCACAGTTGGACAATGCTGCCGTTGGTATGAGATTTTTCTGATACAAAAATTAAGAAAATCGTAAATACTATTAAGTACGAAAAACTTGAACGAGAACTTGCTGGCTGCTATTGGAATTTTTGTGAGAATATTGAAAACATATATGACAACATAATAGGTAATGTAGAAATTTGTTTAGATCTGACAACTGATAGTAAAGGGATTTGCTCGACAAAAAAATATACCCTGGTATAACAAAAATATTAAGGCAGCTCAAAATTTGAGAGACAAACAATGCAAAAAATGTATATTCACAAAATCAAATGATGATTGGGAGGTATATAAAACTATTAGGAATAATTGTTTGTATGTAATTAGAGAAAGAAAAAAGGAAATTCTACGATAAACAAATCGACAATAACGAGTGCGACAGTGTAAAGTTGTGGAAAACTTAAAAAATTGATCAACTCGGAAGCCTCATGACTGTGTAAATCAAGTTCAATTCGAAAACTGAACCGAAACAAATTCCTTGGTGATTGCAATCAAACTAAATGAATATTTTGTGGAAAGTATTGCTGATATTGTGGGTACTGTCAATGCTGCACCTGACTATATGAAAATCAGATTCCAGAGGGAAGTGTTGCATACACAAAAATTGTGCGTATCATTGAATTATCTTAGAAAAAAAATAAAGTTTAATATTCAACAACAACAACAGTACCGAAATCACTACTAAACACGTGCTGAAAAGCTGTTTCAAAATTTTGGGATATCCTGTATTAAATTGGATCAATTGTTCACTGAGAAGGAGTTCTTTTCCTGAAAACACCAGTTCCCAAAATAAAAATTCTAAAAGATGCAGTGATATGGGACCAGCAAATTTGTTACCAGACATTGAAAAATTATTCTAGTCGGTAGTGTATGACCAATTATGCAGTTTATAGAAGAAAACAAAATTTTTGTGGAGGCGCAAGCAGGCTTTCGCAAAAATTTTCGATAGAAACGGCTTTCCAGGTTATTGAGAATTGGAGAAGAACCATCAGAGTCAAAAGAAGTTGTCATAGCAGTATTTTTGGATTTGAAGAGGACATTTGAAACGATTGATAGAGATATTTTGTTAGGTAAATTGAAGGCATATGGTGTATCAGGAAGTGTTTTAGATCGGTTTAAAAATTATTTGTCTAAAGGGATGCAAGTTACAAAAGTTAATGACACTATTTGATCAAAAATTGAAAATACGTTGGGTGTTCCACAAGGCAGTATCCTGGGACCACTTCTTTTTATTTTATACCTAAACGATTTACCTGCCACAGTTAAAAAATGCAAAATTCATATTTTCGCCGATGACACTTTGATTTATATAAGTACTAAAAATATTCAGACTGGTATCTCTTATATAAATGAAGACTTCAAACTTGTTTCAAAATGGTTAGCATCTAACAGACTCAAATTGAATACAAATAAAACGAAAGCTACGTTAATCGAAAAAAAAAACAATGTACAAATGTTCAACTAAATATTGATGGTGAAGATATTGAATTCATAGAAAAATTTAAATACCTTGTGTTTTTTGTTGATTCTCGATTAATTTTTGACATTCATTATGAAACAGTTATAAATACGATTAGTTGTAAAGTGGGATATTCATCAAGCATTTCTGGATGTTTGACTTCATATAGCAGAAAAATTATCTATAATACTATCATTCTTCCAAGTTTCTTGTACTGTTCGACTATTCAATATTTAGCAAATAATTCCATGTTTTAAAGATTGCAAATTTTACAAAACAAGTGCATGCGAATATTACAAATACCTTGTAATGATATTCATGTATAAAGTAAAAAATAATATATTTCCACCATGTCTAACTAATTTAACATCATCAAATGCCGACCATCATTTACATAATACCAGAAATAAAATGCCATCCATTTAATGACCAAAAAGTATAACATATACTACAAATCTGTATTCCATCAAGGGTTGATTGAATTTAATAAATTGAATACAGAGATAAAAGACCATGACAAAATTCGAAGTAAAATTGAGGAATCACTTGTTAAATCTACAATTACAGCTTATACCCAGCATTTATATCATATGGCTTAAATTTACTAATTCTAAGTTGTTTACAATTATTCTGTTCAGTTAGCCAAACGTGATTTTTTTTTATATATCTAAACAGCCGCGCAGGCAGAAGCCTAAATGCCGGAACACCGCGGCTGCTATGATGATCCCAAAGAAATTTTGTTAATACGATTTTTGAACTGCCTCAGGTTAGTAGAACTGGGAAAAGCTTCCTCCCGTAGATTGTTCCACAATCTAGACACCCTCGGGACAAAGGAGCGGTCGTATCGGCCAGTTCTGGATGTACAAAGTTTGACACGGTTAGGATGGGACGCCGAAGTCAGGCGGGTCTGTCTGGAAGGCACATCGCGCGGCGGCATCATGGAAGAGAGCTCTGAGGAGCAAAGCCCGTTGGTGTAGCGATAGAAAAGAGCTAGATCGCCGACGGCCCGCCGGTGCGAAAGAGTCCCGAGACTGTCTGTTAGGGAAGAGTCATCGATCAGTCGGACCGCCCTCCTCTGGACAGCATCGAGCATGGACAATGTAGTCGGGGCGGCAGCACCCCAAATGTGTGAGCAATACTCGAGGCTAGGCCTTATCTGAGCCTTGTATAGAGTGAGAAGGTCATGCGGAGAAAAGTACTTCTTAGCCCTAAACAAATAGCCTAGCTTTTTCCCAGCAGCTGCAGCTATTGAAGAGATGTGTTCGTGCCAGATCAGGTCCTCGGTGATCTGGACTCCGACCAGCCGAAATGAATGGCTCTTTGGTAGAACTCGACCGTCCATCGAAACTGTATGAGCGCTAGGACGCTTTTTGTTCGTCAAAGTACAGTACTGTGTTTTGGAAGCATTGAACTGTACAAGATTGTTGCGTCCCCAAGCAGTGATAGCCTCCAGGTCTCTTGTCAGAGAAGAAGTCGTCGCTAGTCTTCTTTTTTCCAGCTCAGCGGCAGAGATCGGCTTGTCACTCTGAATCCCTGCATGCAGAGTGCTGTCATCAGCGAAGCTGTGGATTGGGTTGATCGTGCAGGAAAGGAGGTCGTTGATATGTAAGAGAAACAGTGTTGGAGCCAAGACCGACCCCTGGGGAACACCCGCGTTGACGTTGTGGGATGAAGAGGAGAATCCGTCAATTACGACGGATATCTTGCGGCCAGAGAGAAAGTCAGCCACCCATCTGTAAAACTTTTCTGGGAGGCCGTAGGATGGAAGTTTGCTCAAGAGGGCAGCGTGCCACAGCTGATCGAACGCTTTCGTGATGTCAAGAGCAACGACATGAGCCTCACCATGAGACTGGATGAGTTTACTCCACAGTTGCGTGACGTAAGCTAGGAGGTCCCCTGTGGATCGTTGGTGCCGGAAACCGTACTGCCTGTCGCTAATCAAGCTGTGACGTTCGAGGTAGTCCAGAAGTTCGCGATTTATGCACCTCTCCATCACTTTACTTATAACAGAAAGCAGAAGAGCTATAGGCCTGTAGTTGTAAGGGTCGGTTTTAGATCCTTTTTTTGGGATGGGCTGTACATGAGCATATTACCAGTTTTCTGGGAAGGTGCCGGATTCATAAGATATCTGGAAGAGACGCGAAAGAACTGGAGCAAGCTCAGCTGCACATCTCTTCAGTACAATGGCAGGAATCAAGTCCGGACCAGAAGCTTTGTTGGTGTCGAGCGACAAGAGCACTCGTCTTACGGTCTTATGCCTGAATGTTACCTCCCGCATAGTGTGGGGAACCCTTTGAATTGACGGCACTTGGGCGTTGGTGGGGACGTCCATGGTGGAGTTGGCAGCAAAGATCTTGGCTAGCACTTCCGCCTTGGCCTTTGAGTCGAATACAATAGTTCCATCCTGACACGTAAGTTGTGGAAGGCTACTGTGTGAGAAGTTCTTTTCAATCTGCTTGGCCAGCGTCCAGAAAGACCGACTGCCATTGCGCTGCGACATTACCCTGTGCCTAACTTTTATATCATGCTGGGTTTTGGCATTGCGAACCGCTTCGTTATATTTGTTTCTGGACTCGACGTCGGCTTGTCTGTTCTCTACAGTGGGGTTTTGTAAGTAGGTTCTGTGGGCCTTGATCTTCTGCTGGCGAGCAGTGTCACACGATTTGTTGAACCAGCCGTTGGGCCCTGGTTTAGGAACTTTCACTGTGTGAGGGATGTATTCCTCCATTCCGACGTGGATAATTTCGGTTATTGAAGAACAGACAGTCGACGCATCCGCGTCAGTGAAACAGACATCTCTCCAAGGAAAGCTAGACAAGAAGTCTCTGAGCCCCTCCCAGTCCGTAATGCCAAGTTTTGCGGCCTGTACGAGTTTCTGCTGCCACAGCGGCTTCTGACCGGAACCTAACTTCCACAACAGTAGTAAGAGTAAGAGCGAACGCTTCGACTGCACGACCTGCTGCATCGGTCTTATTTGAGCCCAACCAAAGCTCATTATGGGCATTGAAATCACCGAGAAGAACTACCTCTGAAGCGGGGTGATTGATGTTCAGGAAGTCGATCTGGACGGCGAGGTATTCGAATAGGTCATCCCAGTTATGGTTCGAGGGAGAGCGATAAAGGCAGCAAATAAATTTGGGTGATGTTTTGGAGTTGAGGCGAAGCCACAGAATGTCCTTCCGGTCTGATTCCAAAGAAAGATCCCTGGAGCAGGAAAGACTGCTGCGGACAAAAGCCACAACTCCCCCGTTCTTTCTCAGATTGGAGTGCACCTCGTAGTTTGGGAAGTTGAGATGGTTAATCGGTGCAGTCTCTGAGATTTTTGTCTCCGCCAAGAAAAGCACGGCGGGACGATTGGATTGCAGGTAGTGATGAACAGCATCAATGTTGCTGTTGATCCCGCAGATGTTCGAAAAACAAATTTTATCTTCGATGTTGTTCCCTCGAGCCCACCCTCCACCCGGACATTCCGAGAGTGGAGTGAGTTTACGTCCGGAGTTTTTAGTGCTCGAGGGATCCATCATTATTAGTTTCTTTGTTTTGGTAGATAACCGACTGCATAGCTTAGGTGTGGAAACATGCGGACATTTATGACACCCTGGGAAAAGCTAGCGGGTGGTACTGCCTCGGTCGACTGGTCCTTGTCTACCACCTTCTTTTTACGTGTTAGTGATGTTGAATAGACCTAAAGTGGCCCGTTGGCGGACTTGTACCGCCACCCGGCAATCGGTACTGAGGTATTCCTTAACGCGTGCACAATCACTTGGACGGGAAGAAGTTGTATACTGGATACAACAACTTCCGGAACAAGCATTTGCCACGGCCCTCGCTCAGTAGGGCGTATAATACTAAATACATCTTTCTACTACTACTATATATTTTTACTTATTTCGATCGAGAATGACATTCTGAAGTCAACAACGCCTCACTTGTCAATATTTGACAAATAAAGTCATTTTTATTTTTCGATATGGAATGCCATGGATCCTGTAAATTGCTTCATTTTTTATCAAGTAACACGGGAAAAATACGATTGTGAGGCAAACGATCTTACAGTCGTTTAAAAGGTTTTCTAAAAGTTTGTTTTAGCTTGTTAGATGCTGAGCATTTTGAAACAAGTTTCAAGTGTTCATTTATATAAGTGTTACGAGTCTGAATATTTTGAGAACTTACAAATCAAAGTGTCATCGGCGAAAATTTTAGTATTGCATTTTTTGACTATGTCAGGTAAATCGTTTATGTATAAAATAAAAAGAAGTGGTTCCAGTATACTGCCCTGTATTTTCAATGTTCATATTTTAAGGATCAAATAAGGTATATCTACGATCAACGACAACAGAGCATTGATATATCTATCTCTATTTATCATCGCTAGATTATACTTAATATCAATAAAGCCGACTGACAGATTTCAAAGACATTCCACGCTCTGGCTATAATGATTCTTCTTACTTCTTATGCATTTAGTTCCAGAAGGATAGGACAGATGCCGCGTCATTTTCATCCGACGCAGTCCACCATCATCCGGCCTTTGATTTTGGCTCATCTTCTTCAAGCCTTATTAAAATGGAAAGTGCATCAAGTTCAAAGACTAGCGAGGTGATCCTTCATCCAAGGAAAAAGATAAAAATTGCTATAGCCACTGCTAATGGTGAGGAGACACAAGTCACCGAAACTTCTGTACAGGAGTATATTACAATGGTAAATATTATACTCAGACATTTTAGGACACATTATTTGTTTTCAGTCATTCGTATTTGCTTTAATATGTTTCGAAAGTATATTTGCAAGAATCGTTAGGTAGTAAAATAACGTTTTGCGATTTTTTATATATTTATGATAGTCTGTGACAAAATTTTCGTGACTCTAAAAATGTGTTGTATCAGGTATAAAGAAAGGCAAGATTAAATCAAAGAGTAGTTATACCAAGAGAAGAAGCGAATAAATAATTAGTATAAGTAGTAAAATATGTTACTGGGTAAGGTATTTAAAATCAATTTGTTTCGATAAAAAAAACAAGTCCCTTTATTTGGTCTCTCTGAAGAGATTTCAGTTTGTAAAGTGCAGGAGCATTTTCAATGATCTTGAAATCCTGAACTATTCAGAACACTAAAATCGTCTATTCCTTTTTTCATAAATGGTACCTTTATAAATATAATTGATTCTATCTACAGGGTGCTCGAAAAATAGACGGAGATATTTTAACATGGGTCCGGCACGGGTATCATGTAAAAAACCTATAAAACGTCAAAAAAAAACCTATGTCATCTTGCAAACTAGGCAGTTTTCAAGGACGCAAACAGTCATTCCACGTTTGCTCACCAGGATCGTTGTGAACATCCATCTAAGGAGGAATCACTCAACTAAACTACACGCAATATTGGTTGCATATGTTTGGTGAGGCCAAATAGTCCTTGTCTGTAGTTTTCATCTCTGAGAAGAAAGTTGGTTAAATAGCAAGATCACATCTGGATGATTATGTGTATTGGTCTCCATGTGTATGAAATCAGTGATATTTGCTATGTGAGAAAATCATTACTGAATATGCTGCCAATGAAGTATATCTGTTGGCTGTGCCCGACGGGTTGTTTTTATGTTGTGCTTTCTGAAGAGAGGTTATGTTCAAAGTTATAAATTACGAAAAACTGAGGAGAATTACGGAAAATCATCACTGTGCTCGCGTTGTGTAATTACTGTTAGCATGTCTTGTAATTCGACAGTGTACAGTGAATTTAATTATTTCTTATCTCTCTCATTTTTTAACTTCAGCAAATTTGTATATGTAATTTCCAGAGTGGATAAGAAAAAGTGGATGCGCAACTAATTTCTAGCTTTAAATCTCAATTAAGTGTATTTGAGAGAAGCACCCAATGTAATTATCATCAACACATACAACTTACAGCTTACCTCCAGTAATGCACATTTTACATCATATCAGAGCCAAAGATTGATAACAAGCCTCATGACGTTTAGGCAACACGTACAACTAAGTACTAAGTTAACATCTTGTAGAAAAACCTACATAATGTCAAAAAAAAACAGCATAATGTTAAAAAAATCGGCATAATATCACTTTTCAAGATAGGTGATACCCGTGCGGAAATGCAGAGGTTTCTAGATACTAAATTTAAAAAAAAATGTTAATATCTTAAAAAATATTTACTTGATTCTGTTGAAATTCGGCAATAATATTTGCTGTATTAAGAGGCTAATTTAGCCCTAGATAGATTAAAATTGTGAGGTCCCGGAAAAATCTTATTGGACAAAAAATGTACGTCACTGCCTTTTTTGTAACTTTAATATTTGTTGTTTGATTAAGCATCTAAAAATACAACTTCTTTGCCTCTTGTATTTTTTTCGTATCTCACAACGTTTTATTGCATGTCACTTGACAAAATTGGTTTGTTAATTTTTGCTAAAAAAATCACAAGTGCCTTGGAAAACAAGAAATCATTTCTGCACGGAGGCTTAACATTTGCGCGTCAGTTCTTCTAGAAAAGAATTATTCACGTAATTTTCTTTGTGAAATTTCAAAAAGTTTTTGTCTCGGTTTTTGTGATAGAAAATTACACTTTTGAGGAAATGGCAGACATACATGTAATGTATGCACGTGCTTATAGTAACTGTTATCTAGTCAGGCGCGTGTATGCATGCAACTTCCAAATAGTGAAACCTTTGAAAGCGTAGACCGTAGATTACGGGAAAGGTAAATTTTCTTATTTATTGTTCATGATGTTTATGACAATAATATTATTTACTAATGATAAAGGCCGGTCGAGGTCCGTAAGAACGCCTGAGTTTGACGAGTCAGTTTTACATTCAGTGGAACAAAATCCTGGTATCAGTACCAGGACGATAGCAACTAGATTAGGGGGTAATCATTCCGACAGCACAATGTGCCAGGTTCTCTCCAAGCAACTTCTGTATCCCTATCATGTCCAACGTGTGCAAGCATTATTACCAAGAGATTTTCTACCTTGTTTACAGTTTTGCCAATGGTATTACCAAAAGGTTGATAATAGGGATTCTAATAAAACCATACTTTTTACGGACGAAGCAAGATTTGGGCGGGATGGTATTGTTAATTACCATAACACTCATGCATGGAGTGACGAAAATCCTCATGCTTTCGTACAATGTTGCCACCAGGAACATTTTTTTTAAATGTGTGTATGGGTATTGTTGGTCACAATTTAATTGATCATTTCTTTTCACCCTTAAGATTAAACGGCGAATCTTACTTAAAGTTCCTTGAACAAGAATTGCCCATACAGGTAGAAGAAGTTCCTCTAAATGTATGTAACCAAATAACTTTCATACACGATTGAGCTCCTCCTCATTTTAGTATACCTGTCAGAACTCATCTGAATAATACCTTTGGTGAAAAGTGGGTTGGACCAATTCACTGGCCACCTCGCTCCCCCGACTTAAATCCAATAGATATTTATTTATGGGGACTCCTTAAGACGACTGTTTACGCTACTCACATAGAAACAATAGGATAAAGAAGAAATAAAATCGTAAATGCTTGCGAGGGAATAAGAAGTGGACCTCGATTTCGTCGTTCAATGGGTCGTCCAGTGAGATGGTGTACGGAAATCAAAGTTTGCTGTTTAGCAACAAAGTACGTATGATGTTACCAGTTTTTATCGTATATCATTGTGCATTCCACAAGTGTCCTCTCTTGAGTAACTACTCTTTGATTAAACATGTAATGTGAAATCCACACGTTTGATTCTGTATTAGCTTGCTGAGGTTTGGCGAAAGCGTAGATTCCATATACATTGTTAATCTAATCATATTAGACGAAAATACCCCTGGTTTGCAAAATAATTGTACAGTGTGGTTTTATTGCTGCAAGTTGTTCAAAACATGGACGTATAAAATGGGTATACCAATTTTTGTGGGAAAACTTTTTATTCGACAACAAAGAATGAGAAAACGTGTTTTTTTGCGTTTCAATCGAAAATGTTGATAGGAAATAAAAAACTCTTCATATAAGATTTTTAGGTATTTATGAGACCTACAAAATGAGATCTCACGTAAGAAGATCCGACTATTGGCTAAAAAGTTATGGCAAACTGCAGGTTTTGGCTGTTGTTGTTGAATTTCTAATTAGTAGTAGTAGAAAGATTTATTTAGCACATTTGGCTACATAAACAGAATAATTGTAAACAACTTAGAACTAGTAAATTCAAGCCATATGGTGTATGATGTAAATGCTGGGCAACCTATAATTGTAGATTTAACAAGTGATTTCTCAATTTTACTTTAAATTTTGTCAAAGTTTTCTGGTCTTTTATCTCCGAGTATAATTTATTATATTCAATCAACCCTTGATGGAATACAGATTTGTAGCAAATGTTATACTTTTTTGTTTATCCCAAAACACCTGTTTTCCGGTCATCACTACTAGTTTATTAAGCTATGTACAGGGTTAGTACAAAGAGCATTGTAAGGCAAAATCCACTAGTTTACCTTGCCGATATGAATCACAAACCATTCCTGAAGATAAATGTCATTTTTATGCGAAAAAGAATGGGTTTTTTCTTCTAAACAAATTCAAACATCTCGTATTTGTGAGTAGTTCGCAGCAAATGATGGTAGACACATCCACTTTCTTTTAAAATGTGTATAGTAACGTATGGTTTTCTAATATCGTAGCGCATTTATTCAATTACACACAAATACGAAATGTTAGAAAAAAAAACGTAACCTTTGTTTTTCTCATAAAAATAACATTTATCTTTCGGAATGGTTTGTGATTGATATCGGCAAAGTAACACTTGTATTTTGTTATTAAATGCTCTTTGAATGAACCCTGAATATTGCTAGTAGTGATGGCCGGAAGCCAGGTATTTTCGGAAAGACAATTAGAAATTCTCAAAAAACTACTTGACCAATATACTCCAACTTTGTTGTTGTCATTTAGAAGTATGAGTCCTACGGATTTGAAGAATTTCAGGTAGTTGCGTGAAATTATCGTTGCAGTGCCAAAACCTGCATTTTGCCTCGTTTTCGGGTCATAACATTTTTGTTATTAGTCGGATCTTTTTACGTGTGATCTCATTCTGTAGGTCTCATGAATACCCAAAAATCTTATATGAAAAGTTTTTTCGTTCCTGTCAACACTTTCTATTGAATCCCAAAAAACACGTTTTCTCATGCATTGTTGTCAAATAAGTTTTCCCACAAAAATTGGTGTACCCATTTTATGCGTCCATGTTTCAAATACCCCCTTGAACAACTTGCACCAATAAAACCAGACTTTACAATTATTTCGGAGAAATTTGGTAAAATACTATATAGATAAAAGACTAATTTATTCTTCCTCGTATTGTTTTAGATTCAGAAAATCCTGGACGTAAAAAGTTTCCAGGAACTCATCAGTGCATTAAGCAACTACAAACAAACAGATGATTATGAGACGTTAGTGAAAAACCTTGATAATATTTTTAAGGGGAAAATGCATTTACGGTATTTGATAAAAGGGTTGGAAAATTATATAAAACGTAGGCACAGAGATGCTTTTAACGAATATTGTGATAGTAGATGAAAGTTACCTTTATAAGAACTATGTGAAATATTTATAATGTTACTATGTTATCAGTTCAATTTTCCTTAACTTTGTACTTTTAAGTTTATCAGGATGTATATCAAATAAATTTGACTTATTTTTATTCACATGGTTTAACTCGATATTTGTCCCCCAGCTTCAAATGTTCATCTTAACCTGACGCAATCATGAAATATCATGATTTTTTTTTAATATTTCACCTCTTTAAAATTGTTTTGACTTGTTAATGCACTGTTAAGTTTTTGACTCTATAAAAAAATGCAAGTACGTGTTTCATTATAGTTTAATTAGACTATACTATAAGGATCATGCAACAGTTGAATAACAATTATTAACAATTTTCAATATACCAGTACATCCAATGTCTTTTAAAAATATATGGAGTCAATTACAAAAAACAATATAATAAAAATATAAAATATTCGATATAGTTTCAATAAATATTTTTTCCCAAAATACTGTTAGTATATGGAATGTGTAATATCATTTGTAACAATTTTTAAGTACATCAAATGGTGAATGCATACAAATACATACAGCGTGAGTTTTTAGTGTGGGCTCAGTTGATAACTTTGTTATTACAGATTGTATTTAAAAGTTGCAAACAAAAATTGTAGCCAACAGTATGCTCCTTACTTGAAAAATATTTTTATTTAATCGGGGGAATTCATAACTACGTAGTAATCATAATCATATTTTTTTTAAGGAAAGACCTACATTTTATTGCAGATTCGGATATGCCCTTCTAAACGGTTCTATTTCCAAATAGTTGAGATATTGGAATCTGTCGAAAAAAACACTCAACTTTGACAACTTGCACCTCCGAAAATGTCACAGCTAGAGAAATAATTTTTCCATCAGAAATATACTATGATAACATATTTTCTCCCCATCTATTAACTTTTTCAATTTTTTGGTTGGTTTATACAAGGTGGTCAAGAAGGCAAAATTAAATATTGCTACAGATTTTGAAATGTAACACCTTGTATATTTCCACAATTTTTGATTTCTCGTTTCACAGGGTTTTTTTCTGATACAGGCTATTATTAATGCAATTTTTATTTTTCATTTACCGTTTTACTTGATATCTGATCAGGGGGTATTCACTCTTATGGGATGAATTGGAACAGTGTTTTTAGTTGGTGATCAATCCGTTGGATGCCGCTGGTATCGCTGTTGTCGTTTGTCGGAATTGGAAGCTGATATTTGACAGCTGTCACTGCTTCCTTTCTTCCTTGTGTTTGGTTTGTTTGGTGGTTTGGACCGTTAAATACTTTTATTTTGTGTTTATGTGTGGTTAAATTTGAGTGATTACAGCGCTTATTTATTGCAGCATGTAAGTATAGTGATATAATCTAGTTTTATAGGCTAAGATGATGGGTACAAAACTTCAGGGCCGTCGACAAGAGAGGAGCTCGTGGCTCGGCGCTGAGAGGAGCACGAGGCTCGCTTACTGAACTGATGGATAGACGTCCTTAGGTTCGCTCATGTCAAGAAAAGGGCCCGAGAATATTTCGGTATGGGGGCTCGAGAAGTTTTGGGCATAGGAGCCCGAGCTTACTTCTCAACGGCCCTGCTTGTCTAAATATGTTTGCTAAAATCATCAATTTTAATATTGTATCATTACAGTATTACTACATTATTACAACTGCAAAAGTTAAATTTGATTTTGTTTATGTTGTCATGTCTAGCAACATTTCTATTTCCTTGAGTCATTTAACTTGAACATATTTTTATAACTGAATGTTGTTTTTCAGAAACCATGTCTCGGTACCGCAAATGCGCAGTTAGAGGCTGTCAGGACAGTGTTTCAGTACGACAGATTTCCAAACCCGACGAAATTTATGTATGTTTTTGTGCAATGGGTGGATTGTATTGGTAATGAAGCAGTGAGAGATATAGACCCCATAACTGTTTATAATAGATATAGAGTGTGTCATGCACACTTCACAGTGGAAGACAATTATGGTAACAACAGACTTAGGAAGGATGCTGTGCCATCACTAAATCTTCCTGATCAACAAATATCCAAAGCAACTGATGAAATTCTTGGTATGTGGTTTTGTTTAATACCCAATTTTACATATCTCAACTTCAATTACATATATTCAGCTTTTTGGAAACTGTTATAAGTTGTGACTTTCAACAGTGTTTAGTTCAAGTGATTGAAACTACATAACTATAGTCTGTTTATCGAAGGAAGAGTAAATCCAAACATATACATGCATATTTTACATGACTGGTGAGGCTACATGCACCTTTGTGTTGTCTCCTGCTCCACCCTCCTGGTTTGGCATTGGCAGGCCACTCAGTGCATGTAGCAAGTCACATAAAATATGTGTGAACATTGTTGGGTTTGGTGTCTTTCTTCAATAAACGAAGTATCTAGTTAATATTTTCCATTTAAAACTCATTGATGGAAATTATTTATATTTGGAATAAGTTAGACTGAGCTCCAGTTAACACTGGGAATGTTATAAGGTGAATATTTATACAGGGAAATTAGAGATAACATTATCTTAACTGCAAACATCTCATTGGTAGTTGTTTCATTCATTCCCAGAATGCACTCCAAAACAGTTTATTGATGATAGCACAGTAACTGTATGAAACATTATAAAATTGATATGTAATTTTTTTTTGATAGTGTAAATTGTGTGGTTACAGGAAAACCATCAACTTCAGCATCATATCAACAGTTGGGAGAAGTTTGCTCAGTTCCAACTTCACAACCAGGAAATCTTGATGTAACTACAGTAGAACCCATTGAGGAGCATTATTCAGAAGCAAGTGAGTAAAGTAATTTTGCATGAATCTCTTAGCCTATTATACCAAGGGAAACATTGTTTTCCAAAAAAAGCAAATCTTACTAGAAGTTCTTCAAAATTGTGAAAGTTTGAAAACAAAATTGTTTTCTATACATAACAATACATACTACTAATAATAATTTTAATTTCAAATCACATCAGCATAATATAAACTTTAAACGAAGTTTGGTCAACTTTGACTATCAAGCACTTGCATTTATAATTAGAAATGGAACATTTTATTGAATTTATTGTCTTGTAAAAATACAGTTGTAATGGATTTTGAACATATATGTAATATAATATCAATTTCATTCTTTATTTCAAGGTTCCTCAAGAACAGAATCTGGATTATTGCATAAGTTACATGTAACTAGAGACCGTGCGAAGAATTTAGGGATCATCATGGATTCAGATTTGAGGTTTAAGCAACATGTTACGCATTTATCTCGCTTAACATACATGCGTTTGAAGATATACAACAATCGCCATATTCTGAATTTCAAGACTTGCAAAAAACTGGCTGAGACTCTGGTGCTATCGTTAATAAATTATTCAATTGCTGTTTAGTTTCCTTGTCTTGATTACGGGACTAGATATCGAGTACAAAAACTTCAAAATCGCTGCTGTAGGTTCGTTTGTGGTCTGCGATAGTTTAGCCATGTGTCTAAGAAGATCAATGAGCTTAGATGGTTGAGGGTTGACCAGCTTTTCACATATAATTTACTAATTTTAGTACAACGAATCAAAATCAATAGGCTACCTGCTTATCTACTAAAAAGGCTACTACCACGTGGGGATCTCAATTACAGGAATCTCAGACATAACTCTGACTTCAATATACCTAGTTATAGGAGCAACATTTTCTATCATAGCTTCACCTACAACACTGTCAAGGTGTATAATAGTCTTATTAACAATTGCAAAAAGAAGGGAATACTTGCATTCAAGAGAGCCATTAAGAATAATCTTCTGGGGTCTGCTAGCCAAGCTAGCTGATATATTTCTTTCTTTTTTTGTTAGAGCGGGCCATGTAGTATTGATGTATAACATCTTAAGATTACTCTATTTAAGCCTTAATTATTGTATATATTAGTTAGTCGGTTGCTATTCATTGTTATATCTTTTTTTTGTATGTGTTTCTGCGCTGTGAGGTTAAGTGGTAGAGTAGCCAGCTGGATAAACTTCGCCTCGCAGTGTGGATGGATTTCTAAAGACATTATTATTATTATATTTAGCTTTGTGAGAAAAATTTGTATATGAATGATTGACCATAAAATGACTATAATTATTTCTTGAATTTTAATTCCTCCCTTCGCATCCCCTGGAAAGATTTTCCTCAAGCCATTTTACGTAATAAAAACACTCCGAATGGTTTAATTTCTGCTATATTAGTCATTAATACGTGACGCGCGACTCATCCCAGCATTGGAGAAAGACACTGTGTCGAAATGCGCGTCATGTATTAATGACTAAGAAAGTGGAAATTAACCCATTTGAAGTGTTTTTGTTACGTAAGGCGATTTATTAATAACAGAATGTAAAAAGCCCCATTAGGTTTGTCCTATTAAAATGGAAAGGCCCATTATTCAGCACTGGTGTGCGGCCAATCCACCAGAGGTCGCAGAAATACGGTAACTTATTTTAGTATTGGAGTTTCCCATCTCTAGAAGGGTTTATCTCTGTATCTGATTAATAAAATGATTAACTGTAACTGAAAAACCATTCGTACAAACTTTCATAGGCCTTATATAAAAAAAGCTTGGAAAAGGGCAATCAAACAGTGTGAAAATATACAGAGTGTTTTATATGAAAATTTTGAGGAACTGTTCTTGACCGCCCTGTATAGTACTCAAAAAAAAAAATAAAATAGTAAAAAAAAATTGGGCGCATAAATTTTTTTCTTACTGTTTTCTGATGAAAAATTCCGTACTCTAGCTATAACAGTTGCGGACGTGCTGGTGTCAAATTTGAATGTTCTTTTTTTGATAGATTGTCCAATATCTCAATAATTTAGAATCAAAGCTCTATAGTATGTTATATCAAATTGATTTGTTTGAAAGAGCCTATCCGTATCTGCGATAAAATGTAAGACTTTCCATAAAAAAATAAGGTTTGCGTCACCACGTAGTTACGAATCACCCTGTAGAAATAACAATAATCTACAAGTAAGGGCTACATTTGCCATAATTAACTTTTTTAGTTATCATGCGTAATAATAAAGACCGAACCCACACTGAAAACTCATCATGTATCTAATACTTGAGGTATAGTTCTACTATTCGAAAAAAAGATATTGTGCGTATATATTATAAAATTTCCCGGAAATACTTAATGATATTGATATGTTCGTTTTATATTTTCTGATGTAAATATTTTTTTGATTTAATAATTTGTTTATGTTCAAATTAATAACAAGTGGAAATTGCAGTGGAAGAAAATTTCAACTGAAGGTATTTGTAAACTTGGAACATGTGAAAAGGACGGATAGAAAACACCTAATGCAAAAAATATGCCACCATACATGCAAGTGTTAAATTGTCTTAGATACTATATAATACTATCAAACTGGTTGAGCTTGTATCTTGATCAAAAGCTGGTTGTTCTCTATGAAATCTTGCTCAAATATTTCCTCAACCAACACAAACTCTTTATAGCCAAATCCATTTGGATTCATATCTTGGACAGGCCTCTTGAAGGCATCCAATTCCGGTCTGGTCATCATCGTTTCTTTTATACTCTTGAAAGATTGCCTGGAAAATACAAGTTGCTTAAAACAATCTTTTAGTGAAAAACAACTTGAGAGAAAGGAATATATATAATTAGTCCACAGCACAAGCTGCCAACTAACTCTCAAGATTGACTGTTAGAGGCAAATTCAATACGATCCACGCCACTGTTCTCCTGTTCTTTGAAGCTGCTTGATGCTCCATCTAGCGGCGTTCAAGTGAAACAAGCAGGATTGATGAGGAATCTCCAATCGCATTATAGTTGCACCACGCCGTCTCTTGGGCACATGTGACGGTACCACCGTGCGATTTTTCGGAAGGGCGCATCTGCAACAGCGGGTATGTTTCAGTAAACAACTTGAGATAAAGGAATTACAGGTTACAAAAGAGAGGGGTTGGCTTGTTAACCTTAACGTCGCTGCGACCCAAATGGATCTGTTGTGACCCCCATGATGATTCCTTACCGAGTTTAATACGCGGCTTTCTGATAAATAGATCCCAAAAGGTAGTTGTTGATTCAGAATTTTCTAAAGAACGTCTGATTTCCTCAGCAGTGCCTCAAGCATCACTTCTTGGACCACTTCTCTTTATTTTGTATATAACATATAAACAGGGTTGTGAAATTTTGTAGTAATCAGTTTTTTGCTGACGACTTACAATTATATCATCGCTTCAATCATGAAAATTTAGAAATTTTGGAAGCACAAATAATAGAGACCTAAATTCTATTGAAAATTATGCAAAAGATCAAGGTCTCCAGTTGAATCCCTTTAAATACAAAATTATTTTTTCTCCTGAAAATCTAAGGTCCCTTATTAAAAATAGTTTGAACATTACTCGAAATGGCCATGCTATTCAGATAAAAACTTAGGTTTGTTTATACTCGTAGATGATAATCTCAAATTTATTTCTCGTGTACATATACTATCCATTTCTAGATTAATATGATCATATTAGTTCATGTTTCGACCAGCTGAACTGATTGAATGTTGCGTAATTGTATATGCCTCATTTATTATGCTATGTTCACAAACTCCTACATACTTTGATTCCTTCATTTTTGAAAAATAAATTAAAATTACATTCACTGACAATGCAACTACTTTATTTCATAAATGTTTTACCTATAATGCCATCAATCTATATAAAGCATTACTATCGACATCTTGATTTCATTTTTGTGCCCTTATGTCCTGGTACCCTGACCAATGTTATCTTCTTTCGGTTTCCCAGCTCTTTGAGACGATGTTTGCAAAGAATTTTATGCCATCATGTGGCTGCCTGGCCGCCTACGTAGGTAGCCTCAAATATTGTTGCGATACACATACACTGAAGATAGGATTCGTGACGTCACCCAGAGAGTTGTCGGCTCGTGGTTCGGCAGGATTGTCGTAATGTTACTGCAGTGCGCGTGTATCGTGGTTAATACTACATACTGCGATTTGTTGATGATTTTTGGTGGGTTTGTGACTTGTATTAGTTGTACATACTTTATATACCCTGTGATGTTAGTAAATTGATAACAATGCAGTGTGCTGTCGTGGGATGTAATTCCGACAACCAATATAAACGGAATCCTTGCAAAGACATGAAGTTCCAGTTTTCCTCAAGACACAAACCCTAGCAAAAAATGTATACAAAAAGAAAAATCAAAGTCAATGTAAAAAGCGCTAGGGTTTGCTCGAAGCACAAGTGCCTATAAGGTCAATTTGAAACATACCCTGTTGGGTTACACCCCTAAAAGATATCGTGCTCTAAAAGATGATGCCATTCCTACAGAACATTTACCAAAGTCTCTATCATCACCTGTTGACGGGGAAAAGCGGAAAAGTGCTTACGAAAAAAGGCAAAGGGCTCAACTTATTCAAGAAAACCCAAAGACAAGTAAGTTTTTTTGACCATCCAAGTCCCCTAGAGTTTAAGTATAGAATAAGGTTATATATTTTGGGGCGAAACGAAGGTGCATACTCGGAGTATTGCAGCGTAGAGGACATTCCACTAACCGCATCATTAACGAATAAACTGAATGCACCTGAAGTATCAGCTGACTATAACGAGAAAGTTTTAGTGGAAGAAATAGATGAGCTTGAGTATGACGGGCTGAAAAATTTGGCCTGCTTTGTTTGCCATAAATTGCAGGATAAGAGGTTGAAAAGTTGAAACTTATTTGTGGATGGACCATCTTAGTGAGAGTGGATTATCAAAACCTTCCACAGCTTTCATGAATCACATTGAAATAGGAATTACAAGGTTGAAATCTTTAATTAAAATCCACCATTTTGTTTTGTATAAAATTTTAATGAATCTAGATCACTCGCACCGCTAAGACGAATCCAACGACACTTCATATGTGGAAATCTGTCCAGCCACTCTCAGCGTGACGTCATGCATTCGGCACCGGTTGCGATATTACCTAGACTTATAGAGATTCCAGCTCCGTCTTCAGTTTTCGAGCCATCTGTGTACCAGTAGCTTTTGGCATGTATAGGTGGTCTTTTCTCCCATGCCTTCCTTTCTGGGACTATTATTTGATTATTTTTATCGAAATTGTACACTGTAACAGTTTTGTCAGTGGGAATTACCAATATAGGATCTGCCTACAACTTCGTGTACAGTCTTGTCCATACTGTCGACTGATCGGTGATTGGCCTTGAGTTAGACTTTAGGCTACAGAAAGAATAAATAGAGAAACCGAGATAAAGGAATGAGGTTAAAATCCTCGCACTGTGGTACCGTGGTGGTGCAACTAGAAAGTGATTGGAGAAGCCTTACCAATCCGGGTTCAACTTCAATATCCAACGTTGCCAGGTCTATAGAAATCTCTTCAGATTAGGTACTTTTGTCAATATACGGAAAACTACTATGGACTTAATTCTTTGTCAACATTAAGCGAAAAATACAAAGCAACTGATTATTTTATAATCCATGACCATTTTGGTCACATAATATTTATTCTTTTAGACACTGTAGCTTAAAATAATTACATTGTGAACTTAATTCTTTGCCAACATTAAGCGAAAAATACAAAGCAACTGATTATTTTATAATCCATGACTATTTTGGTCAGATAATATTGATTCTTTTAGACACTGTAGCTTAAAATACTTACATTGGATGAATTAGAGTTATTGACAGACGGCCACTGAATGGCCAGTCTAATGCTAGGTCATGTTCAGTTTTCATAACATGTATATGAATCGCTAGATAATTATTATCTTTGGGAGACAAATTTATTCTTACACACAACCTGGAAAGTTAACACATAAATTAGTATTGAAAAAAATAGACACTCAAAAAGAGGAAGTTGCTTTTTTATATTTTTATTTATTTTTATCCAATATCCTCCATCCTTATTTGGAATAGGAAAAATATATACCGATTTGAATTTTTAAAAGATCAAGATGAATGTAATATGAAACAGTGAAAACACCATCCCCAGGATGTGACATCACACAAATTGTAAACAAAGAAACGTCATTCGTATGTCACTCGTGGACTAAAAAAGTTCTCGTTTTATTGAAAAAAACAAGTATGAAGATTGGATTCGTGAAAGCAGAAAGCAAAAATATAAAATTGCCACATTTCTGGTTGGTATTTTTTGCCCCCAACCCAGACTTCTGTTCTACTGAGCTGAGGAAAACTGTTAAACATAAAAAGGGGGAACCTATCTGAAAAGCACTCTATACAGGGTGTCCCAGAAGGCAACCTCAAGCCGGAAATGGATGATAGGCTAAGTAATTTTTTTTTATACTCCAACTACCACGAAAGCCTAAGGCCTAAACACCCATTGGGTACCGTGGGGCTGTAGGGGGATACATGTGAAAGCCACACGGACTATGGCGAGGGAACACGTGTGCAAGCAACATGCACACAGTCTGGCTCCGCCTACGAGATCCGCCGGGTGGTACCACCGCGTTCGACAGTCAGAGACCGTCTACCACCTACGGACAATCATAACATCCATAGCCAAGAGAAAAATTTCTCCTGGGACGGGATTCGAACCTTCACAGCGCACGGCGACTGATCAGGAGACCTAAGAGTCTACTACTGCGGCCACCGCTGCTGCCGTAGTCAAGTCATAATAGTTATCAGAAAAATAAGTTGGGTACTTTTTAAATTATAGGCTTTAAAAGAAGAATCGGAAAAACGCCCTGTGAAGATATTTTAGTTCACATTACTACAAATTTAAATTTTTTCTTATTTTGAAGTGACAGACAGTGTCATTCTAGGTAGTGACAGAAAGACAGTAATGCTGCAGGGACACCCTGTATAAATAATATAATATTTACTTGTATCCATTTGGAGAGGTGTAGAATCCTGGACTATAGTACATAACATGTGGATTTTCTCTCATGATATTCAGTTTGCTTTTAAAATCTGCACAATGCCAGAGGTAGCACCCATCACAATACCTTTGATGCAGTTTGCTCATAGAAAGGTTGTAAGATGAGATTTGCTCAGACATGTTTGCTATTATAATGTCTTGTTCCCTAGTCTTTTGTTCTAAAAACACAATTTTTTCATACAGATTCCTGGAATACAAAAAAAATCCTCCATAATTAATCAGAAAAAAATTAAATTGCTTCTTTGAATCTTTGGAAATGTAATAAACAAGCTACAATTTCGAAAGTAACAACAACAATTCTTTCTGACAAAATGTTTTTTTTTTACCTGAGAAGTGTGTTAACATTATCTTCTGGAACATTTGCAGAGGAATTTTTTGGAGGTGGATCCCAAAAATTAGCTTGTTGTGCGATTGCAGATGTACTTGCTACTGCTCCTGCTGAGGTATTGTTGACAGATAGTTTTGCATATGCTTGGGACAACAGCTATAAAAAATAATAATGAATTAACTATCATTGACAAAGTGAAGATATACTTCAAAATAAAATGATTACTAACACATGAAAGTTAGTAATATCTAATATCTACAGTGACTTGTAAGTAAGACTCTTCATAGACTACTTGATAATTCACAGTGGCCTTCAGATTTTGTTTGTTTGTTTAAGATTAATTTAGCATTCTTTTAAAAAACTCAACAATTACAAAACATACAGATATTTAGAAAAAACAAAATCTGCATCTGTAAGAATTTTCAATGTCCATGAAATATTCCTTTAATTTTCTTTTAAACATATTTAAATTACAAGTTGACTTTATATCATTATTTAATTTATTAAATTCGAGTAATCCTTTCTGAAATATTGATTTGCTAGTTACACTTAGATCAAGTCTCAATTCGCAGACTTCACTGATTCAAAATTCGTTCTGTCGCCTAATCTACGGTTTAAGAAAATATGACCATGTTTCACACTGTAATCGTAGTTTAAAATGGTTAGATATTAATAGTTCATACGAGTATTTTATCTTGAAGTTCATTCATAATTTGATTATCACGGGAACTCCCGAATACCTCTTAAAAAAAATTGTTTTCACGCCATCTGTTAGAGATCGCATGCTCAGGTATGGCAAATTATTAGATATTCCACGGCACCGTACGGCTTTATTTACTCGCTCCTTTAGGTATAATTGTGTCAAATTGTATAACTTGCTATCTGATGCATTCAAAAATTTATCTCAAACTAAATTTAAAGTTTGTGTCAAGCAGCATTTGCTATCAAAAATGACTCTTAGTAGTAATTAAGTAGTAGTTTGTAGTTTAGATTAGTAACCGCCAGAAAATTTTTATTTGATGTGTTGCTGAATCTGTATATTTTCTATATTATGTCTTACAATATTTTTGCTTTCCTTTAGTTAGCCACTGTATATATAACGTACATGTTAATTACCTGTATTTACATTGGTTCACAACCATGAAAATAATAGGGTTAAGTGGAAGAGTAGCTATTTAGCTAAACTTCGCCTGATGCTAGGTAACTTTATAAATAAAGACGATTTATTATTATTATTATATATATATTACTATTGCAATTTTGTAAATGAAAATCAATTTTTCCTCTTGTATTATAATTGTGGTAATGATATTCTATATAGTGTTCTAAATGTTGTGGCAAAAGATGATTTTTTATTTTAAATATAAAAATAAGCACCAAATATATGAATTTTTTTATATTCAACCAATTTGTTTTTTTTTTTTTGGAAGTTTTTGAAATAATGTATTCATAGTGATCCTCAAACTTTAGTTTACTATCAGTATATATATATACCTAAATATTTAACTGATTCAACATATTCAATTATTTCTACATTTATCCTAAAGGTGATAGCATTTTCACTCAGGTATTTCCCTATTAGCATACATTTAGTTTTAGAAGTATTCAATTTTAGTTTATTTACATTTAACCAATTTACGATTTTTGCCAAGTCAGAATTTAGCATTTTTAGAGCAGTGAGATATGAGGACTAAATATTAATTATTTTGTGATTTAAAGATTGAGAGTATTTAAAAAATATTTGTTAAGAGTTTTGGTTGTATTACATAAAAAATGATACCTACTGTCAAGTGTTTCTGAATCTGTTGATCAAGATGTCTCTGTAATTCTGGCTCATCTTCAAATTTTTCCTCACAACCTACCTCAACAAATGAGCATCTCAATTTCTCATTATCTGGCAATTCAGGAATCCTGTAACATTACATCATTACTAAACATACAGTGATGCACTGTGTATTAGAATTCAAGAGATGAGAGGCCCCCACTTCAATTTTATTTACCAGCAGATTTTGTCCTGTGATAGGGCTCCTTTTGCTGTATTCTTGCCTCTTAAGGGCCCCTACAAAACAGTGTTTGCTTTGGCCTGTAGACTTTAGACCAGCCACTAGATATCATCATAACAAATATAAAAAAATTAACTCAAAAACATACCTGAATTTGCAAACTAACAAATGAGCTTCCACATCCAAAGGAGAGAGCTCTTCTAAACATCCCCTGACAATATTGGGACATTTTGTCCGCTGTTGAGATATCTCTCTCCTGGTAAAATTATCTGGAAAAATATCTTCTTTGTTCAGTTTTAAGTTATCAACAGGGCAAGCATGTTCTCTTCTACAAAGTGAAAAAACAATGATTTTTTCATATTCAAGAGCCACCACAGTGGTTTGAGGAATATCAAGTTCAACAACTTACTCTAGCCAAGAGTATATGCAGTTTCTGCAAAATCTATGTCCACAAGACGTTAAAACAGGATCTCTCAACCAGGCTAAACAAATGGGGCACTCAAATCTTGCTTCAGGTGCTGAGTAAGCATCGTTTATAGAGCTTTCTTGAGCTAGAGATGATTCGATTTCGTTGGAATTACTCTCGCCGCTCGCCATTTTTACGGTACTAGACAATTAAGCCTAAATAGGCTCGTTTTTCCTTAAATTATCATTAATTACACATACAAATCGTATGATCCATCATTTGAAAACGAATGCATATAACAATATAACCACTTATAACCTCAATCAATCAAATAAATAACACAGAACACAAAAATGACAGATTATGGATCGAACAGAATCGAAATACCACAGCAACACAGAGGATAACAATTTACAACAGCAAGAGGTAAGCTTAAGTTCATTTTATTTCTATGCTTGTACATGTATAAATTATAGGCCCAAGTTTCGTTTAGCGGAAATCACTTACAAACAAAATTAGTTTACAGAATGATTCACACTAGTTACACAAATTATTCTTATTCTGAAGCTCTTGGCCAACTAATTACTAGTTTTAACGGAAAATCATCTTAATTTAGATATATTTATTGAAAGTACGTCGGTATTAATAACTTGAGTTTTTCACTTAGTGCTTGCTTTGATATTATGGTGCTGAATTCAAGATCTTTGTAACTCCTTCCTGTTGCTAAGAACCGTAATGTAGCTGTTAAGCATCCCACAAACCGGCGCGAAATATTCGCTTTGGCTGCGAAAATTTCGCGGCGATGAATTCGCGATCAGATTAAAACGCGGCGGTTTACGGACAGGCTCAGACAAGTGCGAAGCGAATGCGATTGTTCCAGCGTTTTTATCGCGGCGTATTTTAGTTCGCCTTTGACCGCGTTTTTGACGCCGTTCTTCAAAAATTCGCAGTGGCAAAAACGGAATTATTGATAGAAATAGTGAAAAAGTATCCTTGTTTGTATGATTTGTCGAACGATGAATACAGGAATGTGAGAAAGAAAGACAAGATTTGGATGGAAATAGGAAAAGAATTAAATACAAATGGTATGAACCTAATATTTTTTATTAACTTGTTAAATAATTTCCAGTCTACACAAATGTGAAAACGAACATTCTATATATTGGGCATAGGCATATCAGAATTAAAATAATTTACGAATTTGTCACGAGTAGAAAATGCTAGCCTTGCTGCCCGCCGAGGATCATTTGCTATATCAGTAAAAGCTCCAAGCACGGGTTCTGGGCGATCTAAGAATTGAAAATATTTGTCATCGCCACTTTTACTTCGTAAAAAATTGTGTGAAACACATGCCGTACGTACAATTAGAATAGTAGGATCTACTTTAGTTTCTAATGGCCTGTAAAATATTCGCCATTTTTGAGACAAAATACCAAACGCATTTTCCACGACCCTTCTAGCTCGACAAAGTCTTACATTGTATGTCTCTTTTCTGACGTCTGTTAAAGTCTGCTTATAAGGAAATGGTCTCATAAGGTATGGTTTGAAAGCAAATGCTTCATCACCAATTAAGACGTACGAGCAGATTTCATTTTGCCCAGGGAGAAATCTAGGTGCAGGGACACTCATTAAATTTTGTTCAAATCGTTTTCCCATGTTTGAGGTTTCGAAAATACCCCCATCACTATTTTTTCCGAAACCACCAATATCAACACATAAATTTATAGTCCGGGCCAACAATGGCCATAAGCACTATTGAATATTTATGTAAATAGCACCAGTAATTGGAGCCACTGTTGTTAGGTCTCTAGATTGTTAAATGTTTACCGTCTACGCTGCCAATGCAATTGGGAAATCCCCATCTATTTTCAAATTCTTCAGCACATTTTTTCTATATATTCTCTGTTGGTTCTGGTAAATATATATGCTCCATATGTCTGCATATCGCTTCACAGACTTCGGTTACGATTGCACTCACGGTTGTAAAGCCAACTCGAAAGCTATGCCCAATGGTATAGAAGGTGTCACCAGTGGCAAGGACCAAGGAATCTATAAAAAAAATCGTTTTTAGGTGATGAAGTAAAAAAAAAGGTGGAAGAATATCAGAAACACATTTGCAAAATATATAAAATCTACCAAACCAAAGACCGGCCAAGCAGTGGGCAACATAAAGAAATGGCAGTGGGCTGACTACATGGAATTTTTCCGCCCTTTTTTGGCATTTGCCAAAACGTCGTCTAATGTGAAAGATATTGACGTCATACATTATGAGACTGCCGAATTTAACTCAAATATATATCAGGAAAGGGCTGGAAATGTAGAAACCGAAAATTTGGAAGACCGCGGCCATGGAGAAGATGAAAATGCTGATGTAGATGCAGAAGATGCACAGAACGCCTCGGCAACACAGACAGCACCACCTTCTTCATTGAACACTACAGCAGTGACTACTCCAGGGCACACCTTTCCGCAGACTGCAACTACACCAAAATATAAAACGAGCAGAAAACGCTATGAACCACCATCTTCGTCTGTACAACAGCTCATTGATTATTTTGAAGGTAAAAAACCTAAAAAAGAGAACGAGGCCATTGATTCACTTTTCTTGGCACATGCACAGACTGTGAAAACACTTCCCTTAAAGCGTCAAGCCCGAATAAAACTAAAAATAGCCGAATTAATAGCGCACGAAGAATTTGAACATATTGAAGAAATGTCTTCAGCGTCTACCCAGAATTCTGCAAGTATGTATGATAGTAGTCTGTCGTCCTTCCCAAGCGGCTCTGGGTTTACTCCAATAATATACCCAACAGAGGAGGCAAATTCTGCCTCGAATTATTTAGCAACATTTAATCCTAGTGGCAACATGTAGTCCAATTATTACAATAAAATATTTATTTCACGATCCCTGAAGTTTTCGTATTCGATAAGCCTACTAATTTTAATACATATAATTTTTTTACCTGAGTGTAATAGCAAGTCGTTCTTCTGGCGAAATAGCTTCACGATAATTTGTGTCAGATTTTCGTATTTCATCTTTCACCAAGTTCAATATTTCATCGAAACACTCTGGAGTCATTCTAAAATATACGTAAAAGCGCTGTTCATCCAGCCGAAGTTGTGGCATCAAGGTATGGTATTCCCCAAATTTATTTCGTTCCAAGTTAATATCATGTACCCACTTCCTTCGTTTCCTAAACAAAATTGAAAATATTTGTTTTATGTACTTCGTTAAACTTAATACATACCCAACTATCAAATGGCGTTAAATAAACATAACTTACCGTGCATTTTGTTCCTCTTCTAAAGCAATAAATAGAAGTGCCTCCTCTTCTTCTGAAGACGAGCTCATTGCAAAAGGCAAAAATAAAATGTACGCAACCTGTCGAAACCTTCACGTTCGCGGAGCGAATAAGACGCTTTGGTATGAATAAACAGGCGAAACAGATTGCGAATTTCGCTCTGAATTTCGTTGCGAATACTTCGCCGCGATTATTTCGCGCCGGTTTGTGGGATGCTTTAATCTTTAACTTGGGGCGAAATTGCCTTTTTCATGTGAGTGTTTTGTTCCTGTATATGTGGAGTCACGCAGTAGATACATATACGTTTCCATATCCATTCTTAAATAATTACGTAAATCTTCTGGTTCGTCACGTAATTATCGCAGTAAATTTACGTGGGAGAATCTTCCTCTTATCAGCAACCACGCTCTTGACGATCGTGAACGTCGAGAAGTCTTTCTTTTCAATTTCACTAAACACAGCGCTATTATTGACAAAAGCAGTGCTTCCTCCATGGTCTACCAAAACTGATCTAAAAACGTACCTTAAAACTTTCAAGTGTGTACTCCAATCTTTCAACTATCATACTTACCGGGCTTAACTCACTGAAAATTATTCTAATCATATTAGCAAATTTTCCCGAAATAATTGTAAAGTCGGGTTTTATTGGTGCAAGTTGTTCAAGGGGGTATTTAAAACATGGACGCATAAAATGGCTACACCAATTTTTGTGGGAAAACCTTTTATTCGACAACAAAGAATGAGAAAATATGTTTTTTTATTCAATTGAAAGTGTTGGCAGGAACGAAAAAACTCTTCAAATAAGATTTTTAGGTATTTATGAGACCTACAAAATGAGACCACATGTAAAAAGATCCGACTAATGGTAAAAAAGTTATGACCCAAAACCGAGGCAAAATGCACGTTTTGGCACTTGTTGTTAATGCGACGATAATTTCACGCAGCTACTTGAAATTCTTCAAATCCATAGGCCTCATATACTTCTTAATAACCACAACAAAAGTGGAGTCGATTGGTCAAGTAGTTTTTGAGAATTTCTAATTGTTTGCCCAAAACTTTCCGAAACAAAATTGTTATTTTTATGCGAAAAACGGAGGGTTACGATTTTTTCTTCAAAACCAATTTCAAACATTTCGTATACGTGAGTAACTGAAAAGATTCGCTACGATACAAAATACTATGCTGAATCTTTAAATAATGTATTAGAGACTATACAGGGTGGCGCATCTAAAACGAAACAGACGCATTTACTGGCAGCTCAGTTTTTGTTTGAAAAACGCGCGTTGTTTTTTTCATTCTGAAATGATACTCACGCCCACACCCAAATCACTTGCCATTGTTTTAACCAAATCATCTCCATCTAAACGTCTGATTTCCTCAAGTTTCTGTTCTATGGTAATAAAAGGACGTAAAAGGAGTTATTTCTTCCTAACCTACCCCTAAAATTTTAAGGCTGTATTTATATACCCGATTTCAGAACAATACTTAAACTTTAAGTCAACCCACAGCGAATTCTAAAAAAGAGACTTATCTCCTTCTTCCCTGGCACCACGGATTTTCTATGCTATAAAAAGCGGTTCGATGCATTCTCGATAAGTTTTTGTTTTATAGAAAAAACACAATATTTTTAATCTTCAAATTACATCATTTATGTAAAATGATGTAAATAGGAAGAGCGTAAGAGCGATGTGATATATATTGACATTCAAAAAGTATAGCTATACTAACTTATAGTAAATATTATATTAGAGGTTATCTTCTTTCGTTGTTGGTTTTTACAATCTGCTTTATCCTCACAATTACTTCTTTCTCTACGTATCGCTTTAAATACAAGTCGAATATCCTATCTTTGCATAGGAGCTTATACAGTCGTTCACCGTATTTCCTAAAAATCGATATAAAAATTAGTTGATTACGTACTCCAAATCAGAAGCCTCTTTGAAACCAATTTAGTATAAAAATTAACAAATTGAGCTGGATATTCTTCACACACAGCCCATTTTATTATATTCAATATCAACTTATCTTTTTGGAAAACCCTTGATAACAAAAAAAGCTCACAACCGCAGCAAAAAAATACCCGTTTCTGAGCAAATTTCTTTGGTCTTGAGAGTTCCATAGACGCCTCAAGAAGCTGCCGCTACAGGGTTATATGAGGTATACATCACGAAAAACCATGTCACTTATTTCAGTCTCCCTGCATTTACCTGATCTCCTGGTAACGGTCGTCCATAAACTTAACCATGTTCAAAATAATTCTTTTGCGTGTGAATTCGTTGTTTTGAGGATGGAGGACATTGAGGGGACCAGCAATGACTACTGCGCAGACCAGCAGTCTTGCAGAGGCTGTACGAACTAGAGGATTCTTGTGTTCTGGTCCCTACAATTTCAAAATAAGGCAGATTGAAGGTGGCATGCATAACAAAATCTGAATAAGGAATAATTTAAGCAATTACTAGTTTTCAAAATTTTGAGAATTTAGAAAATTATGGGAATTCTAAAAATCTTGAATTTCCAAAAAAATCATAAGCTTTTAGAGTTTTAAAAAGTTCTAAACAGTCAAAATCATCAAAAGGAGGGGGCACAAACCTTACGGAAATGAGTCCCCGGTGGATCTTGCTCAAACTTTGGGAATAAGCTCTCAGGGCGTCCCAAACATGCAAGAACGGAGTATTATTGCTCCAAAATAAAAACTTATCAAAGAAAACTATTTAGTAAGCTAGAAAATTGATATCAGTTTTGATTATTATGGTTATCTGGTATTCTATCTAAAACTGCGAAGTGTCAAGACAACTGGTATGGAGGTTGTCAAACTTTGGTGTTTTTTATTTAGATGAAATAACCAATAATCCTCCCGATCATAGATGATGAGAACGATAGAGATGCTGCTCAAGCGGAGTGGACAAGTTCCGTTCAGCAAGCTCTGCAGCGTGCAGCTGTACTACCAGTACGACGACACGGCAGACCGTTTCTCCCTGCAGACATTCGTCAGAAAATTTCTGACAAAAGAGCTGCAATTAAGCAAGCGAAGAGGTCTTGTCACCCAGATGACATTCACAGAGCAACTAATCTTGTTCATGCAGTGAGAAATGCTCTTCATGAATTCCGTAATGAGCAATGGAGCGACTTTCTGTCGGGGATGCTTGACTCAAGTATTCCTCTCTGGAAAGTTGCAAAGTCGCTCAGAAACGGAAAGCAAGAACAACTCCCGCACATCCACGGTCTTGGGGGCATAATCTGTAGGACAGAGGAAAAGGGCGAGGTTTTCGCTGATGCAATGGAAAGTCAGTTCTCTCCCAACTATGACCTTGATAATGACCTCGACGAGGAGCAACATATTGTAAGATCCGTCAGGAGATATTTTAGGGCCAACGGCGTCAGTGGCAGTAGTTCCGCTCTTAGTGATTTTTCCTCAGAGGAATCTTCAGATGATTCGTCAATTGAAGAGCTGCACTGCACATCAGCGAGATCTCCTGAGACTCCGCATTGCACACCAGCAGAGCTCCAAGGTCATATTTTTTCAATATTAGTTCAAGTTTTAGAGATACGGTAATTATATGTGTTCCTGCTGTGACAGTGTTAATATACTGTAATTCACAAGAATGCACGTGCTACATTTGTATATTCGGCAAGGAAAGATGATGTAATCAGGATGATTGTGTTACGTTATACATACGTGTACATTATATTGTCTTATATTAGCCATTTTTTCCTCAGTTGGCTGACAGCGTTCATGCAAGATGTCTCGAAAGTGTGTAAACAATCCAGATCAGTTTTGTTACGTGTGTGGTGATGTGACTTTTGCGTCTCAGAGACAGTCTATTACTCCACTAATAACAAAGGCATATCAGATTTATTTCGGTTGTAAACTAGGTGATCAAGACAAACAGTGGGCACTCCACATCTGCTGTAATAGATGTGCTTCAAGTCTGAGGAGCTGGTTAAATGGCAAAAAACGGTCTATGCGCTTTGCTGACCCAATGGTTTGGAGAGAGCCTACAAATCATATTAATGATTGTTACTTTTGCATGGTACCTTGTGTTGGACAAGCCACAGGTATGTCCAAGAAAAAAAAAATCGGTTATTAACTACCCAAACATACCATCTGCGATGAGACCTGTGCCTCACAGTGACGAAAATCCTATTTCAAAACCCCCAGAATCCTACACTTGCGAATCAGAAAACGAATCAGATCATGGCGATCGAGTGATTCGTCAGAAAGAAGATATGCCATCAACGTCAAGAGATCCTGATTTTATACCGAGCACGTCATTCCACCAACCACACAAAATAACACAGTCAGAATTAAATGATCTTGTAAGAGATTTAGAACTTCCAAAATGTAAGGCAGAGTTACTTGGATCAAGACTGCAGCAGTGGAACTTGTTAGAAGACGATGTTTCGGTATGTGTTTTTCGTAAACGCCACAAAGACCATTTTTCAATATGGAGAATAACTTGGTTTTCTGCAGTAACATTAACGGCTTACTGGCGGCTTTAAATATAAACTATAACCCAGAAGAATGGAGATTGTTCATAGACAGTTCAACATTGAGTTTAAAGGCAGTGTTATTGCATATTGGAAATATTTTACCATCTCTTCCTGTAGGGTATGCAGTTCACATGAAAGAATCATATGACAATATGAAGTACCTATTGACATGCATAAAATACGATGAGCACCAATGGCATATTTGTGGCGATTTGAAAGTTGTTGCACTTTTACTTGGGCTGCAGCTAGGCTACACAAAGTTTTGCTGTTTTTTGTGTGAATGGGACAGTCGGACAAAGGCACTTCATTACACCAGACAAAACTGGCATGTTCGTCAATTCCTAGAGCCAGGTCAAAAAAATGTACAGCATATACCATTAGTAGATTCGAAAAAAAATTTATTACCACCACTGCATATCAAGTTGGGCCTAATGAAAAACTTTGTCAAGGCATTAGATAGAGATGGGTCAGCTTTTCAATACCTGCGTCAGAAATTTCCAGGACTAAGTGAGGCAAAGGTTAAAGAAGGTATTTTTGTTGGGCCACAGATTCGAAATATTTTGAAAGATACACAGTTTGAAAACACTTTAACAGGTATTGAAAAAACTGCTTGGAATGATTTCCGTCTGGTGGTCACTAATTTCTTGGGAAGTAGAAAAGCTGACAACCATAAAACCCTTGTCAAAAATATGCTGTCATCGTATCAAAAGATGGGCTGTAATAAGTCTCTCAAGATACCTTTCCTACACTCACACCTGGACTTTTTTCCTGACAATTGCGGAGCCGTAAGTGATGAGCACGGCGAACGTTTTCATCAGGATATTTCAACAATGGAAAAAAGGTACCAGGGAAAGTGGAATCCTTCCATGCTTGCAGACTACTGTTGGACTCTTCGTAGAGATGCTCCAGAAACGATCCATAAAAGAACAGCAAAAATATAGCGCATATAGTGATTCTTATAAGTATATGAATCTTGTTACTTTTTTTAATATATCCTTAAAAATAAAAAGTTTTTTTTCTAAACCGCAACTAATTTTTTTATTTCATTGTCATTTTTGGATTCAGCGCCCCAAAATTAACAAAGAAGTGCACTTTTCCCACAAGATACAATTAAAAAACTAAAATTTGTTGTCCAGTGTAATCAATGCCATGCTAAGGACCCAGCACTTCCCAACGGCGTGGAAGACTGCTGATGTAATAATGATTCCAAAGAAGGTGGGTTCGATATTCCCTCAGGACTACCGCCCCATTATTCTACTGTCAGCTCCTTCTTAACTCGCAGAAAAGGTGATTCTACGTCACCTTGAAAATTTCTCGGCAGACCACAATGTGATGACGTGCAATTTGGCTTTCGGTCTGAGCATAGTACGGAGCTACAGGCCATAAGGCTTGTTGAACGAGTAACCAGCGGGTTCACCCGTAATGAAAGTACTAGCATCTTGCTACTGGATGTCTCAAAGGCATTTGACAAGGTGTGGCACAAGGGCCTTCTCTACAAATTGATCCATAAGGGCTTCCCCTTCTGGCTCCTAAAACTTTTGAAATCCTTTCTCGAGGGTAGGAAATTTCGGATCAAAATTAATAACGTTCTGTCGACAACACGGCCCATCAAAGCCGGTGTCCCTCAGGGTTCGGTTCTTGGACCAGTTCTTTATTCACTTTTTATTCATGACGTCCCTTGCCCCAGCAGCTGTGAAACCTATCTCTATGCTGATGACACTGCCCTGGTGGCCCAGTCGTGCTCTGGAGATCTGGTTCACGACAGGCTGCAAAGTGCAGTGGACGAGGTATCGGAATGGGCGAATCGGTGGCTGATCAAAATTAATCATTCGAAAACGCAGGCAATCTATTGTACTAAAAAACGTAGCGGCGCCCCGTCTGAGGTTTCAGTGAATGGCGCTCGGGTACCATGGGAAAGCTCTGCTAAGTATCTCGGTATCACTCTTGACAAGGGGATAACCTGGCAGAAGCACACAGAAGCGTTAAAAACTAAATTCCAAATCTCGTTTCGGCAACTCTACCCTATGCTATGTAGAACATCAAAATTAAGTTTGATCAACAAAGTTCGACTATTAGACCAGCGATCACTTACGCAAGTGCGGCTTGGTGTTTTCTCGCCAAAACGCATTTGCGTAGCCTGCAGGTTTTGCAGAACAGAACCTTGCGTACAATCACTAACGCCCCATGGTATATTTCCAACGAGACCCTTCACAGAGACCTTGACGTCCCTTACCTAAAAGACCACATCAAACAACAAGCGCAGCTACGTTACAGTCAAGCAGAATCGCATAACAACACTTTGTTACGCGAGTCAGTAGACTATACAGTCGTGCAAGTTCGCAAGCACACAAGGCCGCGACTCGCACTGTGAACAAAATTAAATCGTCCGACTTTAGGTCCAACCAAAATTATAATTTTTCTTGAACAACCAATCCCAAAATTAATTTTAGGATCAATTTAAAATTGCCGAATACTAACTAGCAATGCCAAGGCACCCCTCAAATTGATGCACTTCTTTTTTCTTTGCTCTCCCTCCTTCCTTCCTTCCTTCCTTTCTTCTTCCCTTCTTTCTCTCTGACTTTGTTTGGTATCTGGGCAACCAGACCTGACAGACCTACTGACTTACAAGACTTCAACCAAGAGCAAAGGTCCTACGGACCGCTCTGACAGACAATGACGAATAGTATACCAATAACCCAATAACTGATGATGAAAACCAATAAGTAGGTTATCATCCTTCTGCCTTTAAAATGGCCTATCCAATAAAAGGTAGGGCATTGCATTTAAAACAGATACTTTTGAAGTGGATACCATGTATAGTAACCCATAAATAATTTTCTTTGATAAGTTTTCATGTAGGAGAAATACCCCGTTCTCGCTTGCTTGGGA